GTATGAAATGAAAGAAAATATTTGCAAATCATGTGTCTGATAAAGGATTAATATCCAAACTACATTAAAAAAAAACTCATACAACTCAATAGCAAACACAATCTAATTAAAAAACAGACAGAGGATCTGAATAGACATTTTTTTTTCCTTTAGAAGACACACAGATTGCTAACAGGAATCAGGGAAATGCTAACAATCACTAACAATCAGGGAAATGCACATCAAAACTGCAATGACTTATCAATACCTGTTAGAAAGGCTATCATCAAAGAGATAAGACATAAGTGTTTGCAAGGATGTGAGGGAAAAGGAACCCTTGTGTGCTGTTGGTGGAAATGTAAATTTCCTATAGTGCATCCACTATAGAAAACAGTATGGAGATTCCTCAACAATCTGCTCAAAATACAATTATCATATAATCTAGCAATTTCACTTCTGGATATATATCTGAATAAAACAAAATAACTATCTTAAAAAGGTATTTGCCCTCCTACATTCACTGCAACATTATTTACAATAGCCAAGATATGGAAGCAACCTAAATGTCCATCAATAAATGAATGGGTAAAGAAAATGTAATGCATGTACACACTAGAATATTATTTAGGCATAAAATGAAGGACATCCTTCATTTTCAACAACCTTGATGGGTGGACCCTGAGGACATTATGCTAAGTGAAATAAGTGGGGCTATAACGACAAATACTGTATGAACTCACTTATATGTAGATATCGAAAAAGAATGACTGAACTTACAAAGAACAGATTGATGGTTGCTAAAGGTAGGACCTGAGGAGGAGGACAAAATGTATGAAAGTGGTCAAAAAGCACCAACTTCCAGTTATGAAATAAATAAGCCCAAGGGATGTAATGTGCTATTGTTAACAACATTGCATTGTACATTTGCAAGTTGTGAAGGGAGTGCATGTTCTCATCACAAGAAAATAAATTGTAAATATGTGTGGTGATAAATTGTGGGGATAATGTGCGGACTCCTGAGGCTCGGGTTGAGTAAGGACAAGCAGCTGGAAGTCTGTGTCAGAAAGACGACTTTCTGAGACCAGACTCCTGGCTTGTATTACTCCCCCAGGCTAGTAGGATAAGAGTCATTATCTCATACCAGGAGTTGAGTTTTGGGAAAATGAGTCTTGGGAAAAGAACAAAGATATAAGTGTACTCTACAAATATGTAAACTTGTTAGGAGCTGTTTTGAATAGGTGCAGCTGTGCTAAAATTCAATATACTTAGGAATACTTGCCAAATATATTTTTATAAATACCACTGCTAATAAAGCCTGAGCATGCATTTGCTCTTGATCACCCGCATTTGCATCCCCTGCGTCCTGATTTGCGCGAGCTCCACCGGTCGGTCACTCACCCGGGGTTCACGACACAGCGACGTCGACCACAATAAATACTACCTAAACTTGTGGTAATCATTTTGTAATATACTCATATACATATATCAAATCACTATTTGATTTGATACCTAAAACTGATACCTAAAAATAATGCAATATAACTATAATAACTAAATACCTAAAACTAATGCAATGTTTGTCAATTGTATCTCAAAAAAAGATGAAGATTGTAGAAAGCATGTTCTATGAAGAATGTCTAGAGGTACATACACTGAAGAAGGGAAAATGTAGATGCTGAAATATGGAAGTGGGGATAAGCTTATTCTGAATTGCTCTGTGATAGCTTAGAGATCTCACTTATAAGACTGGTATAATAACTACATATTTCTCACAGGGCTGTTGTGAGAGCTAAGTAAGTCATTGTATGTTAAACACTTAGAATACTTTCTGGCCTATGAGCAACAGAGGATAGATAAAAACATTAGAGATGTCCAGTATAGCATATTGATTAAGGGATACTATTTAATTCTACTTGATAAATTTAGTCTTTTAATTTTATATATCTGTTGGTGGGATAGTCAGTGCAGCCATTATGGAAAATGGTATGGAGTTTCCTTCCAAAATTAAAAATGACCCAGCAATTCCACTGCTGAGTATTTATTCAAAGAAATCAAAAACACTAATTTGAAAAGATGTATGCACCCTTATGTTCATTACAGCATTATTTACAACAGCCAAGATATGGAAGCATCATAAATGTCCATCAATAGATGCATCAATAAAGAAAAGGTAGTATACATACAATGGAATATTACTCATCCATAAAAAAAGAATGAAATCTTGCCATTAGTGACAACATAGATTGATGCGGATCCTGGCCTGCAGGTGCTAGTGAACAAATGTTGTCGGTGCTAGTGAACAAATACACATGGACAACAGAAGTCCTGTGGAGAAAAAGAGGTGGCATGGCCACTCTCTGATTGAGAGAGAGGGTGAGAGGGCCAGAGGTCCCTGCCTGGACAGGCTTTTATTGTTTTTCTGGGTACATTACATGGAGGGTAGTCCTCATTTACTATGCACAGGTTCACTGCAGGGGACTACCTTTTACAGATAACAAAGGAAAGAATGTTGCTAATTACTTCAAAGAGAAGGATGTTGCAGACCAAGAGGAAAAGTGGTTGAACTGGTTACACTCCATACCTGGGAGGTTTAGCACAGACTTTAGGAAGTTCCAGTAAGCACTTGCTGCCTCAATTCAGGGTGAGGGAGTTTTAGCAAAAGCAAGTCTCATAGCAATCTAGGTACAATGCAGGCCTGATCCCCCATAGGAAAACCTCTCTGTGGGCATGGTCCTGTGTGCTGACTCACTTCCCACTGGTTTTCCATGTGGGAGTTGAGCTACATTTCCACACCACCTGAAACAGCTCCCTCCAATAGATGGACCTAGAAGTCTATGTTAAATGAAATAAGCCAGGCAGAGAAAAACAACACATTATAATTTCACTTCTATGTGGAATAAGGAAGAAAGAAAGGAAAGAAAGGAAGGAAAGGAAAGGAAAGGAAAGGAAAGGAAAGGAAAGGAAAGGAAAAAGGAAGAAAGAGAAAGAAAGAAAGAAAGAAAGAAAGAAAGAAAGAGAAAGAAAGAAAGAGAAAAAAGAAAGAAAAGGAAAGAAAGAAAGAAAAGGATAGAAAGAAACTCATAGGTACAGAGAACAAATTGATATTGGCTAGATGGGAGGGGGTTGGGGGGATAGACAAAAAGGTGAAGAAATTAAAAAGCATGAAAGTATGAATTTACAGTTATAAAGCCCTGGCCAGGTGGCTCAGTTGGTTGGAGTGTCAGCTTGCACACCAAAATGTTGCAAATTCAATTCCTGGTCAGGGCACACACCTAGATTGTGGATCCAATCCACAGATGAGGCGCATAAGGGAGGCAACCAGTTGATGTTTCTCTCTCACATTGGTGTTTCTCTCTCTCCTTTCTTCTCTCTAAATATGTCCTCTGGTGAGTATTATAAAAATGTCACAGTGATATAAAGTACAACATAGGGCATATAGGCAATAATATTGTAAAAACTATATATATTGTCAGATGGTTACTACACTTATTATGGTAATCACTTCTAAGATATAAAATGTCTAATCAATGCAACTGAAACTAGTATGATATTGTACATCAAGTATAACTGAAAAATAAAAAATTTAAAAGTTGTATCCTGATGTAAAAAAAAAAGAATAGGTGTCAAGGCAGAATTCATATTGGATGTTCTGGGGTACGTAAAGGAAGCTTTCTAAAATAAGATGCAAAATCCACAAGTCAAAAGTGAAGGCACTGTAAAAGATGATTAAAAATGAAAACTGTGTATTGTTAAAGCAACTTAATTAGTTATAATTCAGAGACTCATTGGGCAAAAGGATTGAATCTTATTAACAGATCATGGATTCAATCACAATATACAAAGACAACAACAAATTAGAAAGAATAAAAAATGTCCCAATCCAACAGAAAACTGTATTAAATATCAGAACATAGCACAAAAGAATATCGTAGAATGGTTGGTAATAATATGAAAAAAATAATCAATGTTGCTAACAATCAGAATTAAGAAAAACAATAATAAGTTAATATTTGCCAATCAGAATAGCAAACATTTAGAAATAATATTCAGGAAGTGGAGAGATGTAGTAAAACAAGCATTCTCAGAACAGAATGACAAGTTTATATGGTATATACAAAAAAATTGTGCAAGGACGATGACCAGAGCATAATTTGTAATGGTGAAATTGGAAGCAAAGCATATGCTATGCTATGCTATGCTATGCTATGATAATTAGATCAACGATACAGTTCTGGATTAAAGGCAAGGGGATTTCCATGATGCATGATAAGGTAGAAACACATGAGAGAACAGTTTGCATTAAATAATCCTGTTTATGTTAAAAAACCCTATGTACTTTTGTATGTATAATATTTATTCAGCGCTTACTCTGTGACAGGCATCACTCTAAACTTTTTGTATATTTTAACTTCCTTAATTCTCATAAAAATCCTATGAGGTAGATAGTATCGCTAATCCTCATTTTACAAATTAAAAAAGAGACAGAGTGCAATTTGCACAAAGTCAGAGATGAGAAGGGATTCAAACCAAAGTGGTTTGGTTTCCTCACTCCTTTTTCAGTATCATTTTCTCAATTTCCTTACCTCCCCCACCCTTCTATTTCCCTTCTTCTGCCCTGCCATCTCCTTTATCACTCAGTAAATTTCCAAGTGTCTCCTGACAGGGTCATGAGGAGAAAAGTCGGGGTGCAAAAGGTATGTTTTGTTTTTCTCCATATTCGGCTTTATGGTGTGGAAGATCGTGTGTTACTTTTATGAATGAAAATTATAAAAGAAAAGGGAAACCAATGAATTCAGTTCAGTTCAACAAACACTTATTGTGCATGGATGCCAGTCGGAAGGAACCTGAAAAACTAAACATTCTAAACATATACGATCTGTCTGACACTAAAAAATAGTTAACATCATTTCCTGAGAGACAGAGGCTAAGACTGAAAGAGGAAGAGAGAGCGAAAGTGAAAAGCCTCCATAAACAAAAACAAGTTTGACCTTCCTTATCTGTGGTCTGAACAGTTCACCGCTCTCAGCCCTGAAAGCAAGGAGTCTAAGGGAAGAGGTCAAGGTCTGAGGAAAGAAGTACTCGGAGTTCAGTGCCTTCAGCCCCACCTCGGAGGCAGCCGGCTCCGGGTTTGTGCCTGTCCCAGTTCCAGCGGGTGCGGACGGCCCAGCTGCCAGCCGCCCTTTGGCCGCACTGGGGACGTTTCTGGAGTCCGTCCGGAGGGCAAGAAGAAGGGCGGGGCAACATCTCCGCACCGCCCCGGGGTGGCGGTCTCCCTGCAACACTCCTGCCTCCTAGCAACTACCCGGACATCTAGGGAACCTTTCTGTGCACGTAGGATCCCGGAAACAAAACCGGGAGCGGTCGCTCCGAGGCCCTTTCCTGTAGACTTCAGCGATGGTTGTGTAACAAGCAGGGCAGGGCCACTCAGGCACCCAGAGAAGCAGCGCCGCCGTCCGCGCCAGGGATCCCGGTACTCGTTGACCCCGCTCGGCCACGGAGCAGCAGCAGCCACAGGTGGGCGGCGGCGTTCTCTGTCTGGGCCGCGGGCGAGGGGCCCTGGGGAGGCTGGTGACACAGGGGCGTGAGGGCTGGTTTGGGCTGGTGCTGAGATTGGGGGGACGGGATACTGGGGTTCTAGGGGCCTAGGGGAGCCCCCGGAAGTGGAGCCCGGGCCCAGCAAGGCGCACCAAGTGACCAGGTTTGTAGGTACGTACCCCAGGAGCAAAGCGCCCGTGAGAAGGAGATTCCTGCCTGAAACCGCCCCCAACCTGGGTTCCCCTAGTGCATCTCTACACAGCCAGAGAGGAAAATCTGGGCCAGGGGGATCTGCCAGCCTATTTCGGAAGAAGAGGGAGCTATTAATAGAGCCTGCTAGCTGGCGTTTAACAGTAAATACTAATTAGGAGTATAGATGGAATTACCCTAGGCACCCTGGGACACCAGAATTGGAAACGCGGAGGAGGTTTGTAGATTAGAGGCCAAGCTGTTATCTCGGGAGTCCGTCTGTGTCCTCCCTCTACTACTTAATATCTGGGGACTCTGACCTCCAGCCAGTTTCTTCACAAACCTTCCTTCCTTACCTCATCTCTGAAATGGTGTGACTATTCGGAGTTACAAGAGTAGAGTAGGATATGTACTAGTGTAACTCTGTTAGAGCAGGGTCTGGCACTGCCCCAGGCACTCCATAACAGGTTTTATTGTTTCTAATATTTGACAAAGCCCCCGCATCTCCAAATCTACTGTCTCGTTCCCGTTTTATTTCTCCATTTAGTCCTGGAAGTCTGGCATGGTAGCTTCCCAGTTCCAGGGGACAGGCAGCAAGCAGTCGTCTGTCCTGGCTTAGCAAGGTGAGGGATGTGGCTAGTACTGTACAAGTGTCACTTGCTCCGTGTGACCTGTCAGGCGATTTGGGATCCCCCTTTTCTCCCTTGAACTTTTGTACCAGCACAAGTTTCTCTGAATACCGCCCTGGCGAGCATGGCAATTGGAGGACTTGGAATGCTGGACTAACGAATGAAAGGAGTGGACTTGTTCACTTGGGTGGAAAGTGGCATTTGAAATAGCCAGGTTGTAAATTAAGCAACCTTCAAATCTGTAAGGGATGCATTCTTTCTGACTGAAAGGAATGAAATAATTCTCTACACACATTGTTGAGTCAACAAGCACCCATTAAGCACCTTGCCTGGGACCAGCCACGCTCCAGCCTTTGAGAGTTTAGAGAGCAGCTGGAGAAAGAGTGAATGTGTGAGGATGGTCTCCCAGGCACCTCTTCATCCTCAGGTCTAATGATCTCTCCCTCTTGGTCTGTAACCCACAGACCTTTCCTTTCCTTGAATGAGAAGAGCCCCCTCAGCCTCAGGACTTCTACCCATGCAGTTACCTCCATCTATAACCCCACCCACTCCTCAAACACACTTCTTTGAGCTCTTGGATCTGTCTTCCTTGACACCCTCTCCCCATCACCTATCTTAGTGCCCCTATAACTCTTCATTACCATGCCATTAGATTTATTTATAGCACTTCAACTGTTTGTAGTAATATTGTTATTTGTCATTTTTTCTAGTGATTGTTATAGTGACTTGTATATTCTTTATGCCTTCCATCAATATTTCTTGAAAAGAAGCACAAGCTTTATACTAAGTGAATATTTATATAATATTTATATATGTATGTGCATATTATACAAAGGGGGACCCCCCAAAAACCAAATTATAATCTGGAGGGCATGTCCCTTGTAGTACAGGCTGCCAACCCCTCTAGGTGAGTATTCCAGGAACCCATCCGTTTACAAGCCAGCATTGTTGTGAGAGACTTCATTAAACTTCAGTAAATTTTTTGAAGACTCTTTCCATGTCTTTTTGCCCATTTCATGAAGGGCGATTTATGAGCACACCTGCCCACACTGCACTGAGTATTCAGCAGTTTTTGACCAAAAAAGGCATGATCCCTGTGGCCTGCCCTCCATATTCGCCTGACCCCCCTGTGAGTGACTTTGTTTTTGTTTCCCCGGATGAAAATGTCCCCAAAGGGAAACATTTTGAGGATGTGGAAGAGGTGAAACAAAAAATAGCAGAAGCACTAAAAGGCATCAAAATTAATGAATTCATAAACTGTTTTGAGCAGTGGAAAAAAGTCTCGATTGGTGTGTTGCATTAAAAGGAGAGTACTTTGAAGGTGACTTAAGTTTAAACAACATGTAACAATAAATACACAATTTTTTAATAAATAAATTCCATTTTACGGGGGACCCCTTCGTATATAAACCTGTGGAAAGAGCACACCAGGGAAGATACAGAACATTTCCATTGCCACAGAAAATTCTCTCTTGTCACTTTCCCGTCAGCCCCCTCCTATCCCAGCATCAACCACTGTTCTGATTTCTGTGGCTAAGAGACTATTACTCAGTGGATGGAGCCATGATAAAAGCAGCTACATGGACGAATCTCAAAAATACGTTGAGTGAAACCAGACACAAAAAGCACACACTGATTACATTTCTATAAATAACCATATTTTAAATGCTTTCTATAGCACAATTTCGGCTGACACCATTTGCCAATAGGACCTACTATGCTGCTAAGACCCGTAGGCTTTAGAGACATGCATGTGGGTAAAATTATTTTAAAAATACGAGACTCAAAATAGTATAACCAAATTAGAAGGAAAAGTCAAATATGAACAAATGAGCTCTGTTTTGGTGTTTGTTTAGTACCACTTTGGATTTCTGTGCAAGAAGGAAATGATCTTTCACCCTATGAAACAAAGGTAAATATTCTGGTATTCAAGTTGGTTCTGTTTGGCAAGGAAATGGGCACTTACGGCACTTATTACTTAAAAGCCTCCACCTGTTCCTAATGTGATTCACAGCATTTGTTTATGAATTTCCTCTTTCTGGCACATTCTTTCTAACTGGCATTGTGCTCCCCAGGCTCAAAAAACTAAATGTGAAAAATATATATGTTTTTTTAATTTAAAATATTTTATTTTTTAAAGTAAAAATATTTAAGTTAATAATTTTAAAGTCCCTTCCCCCTCCCGCCCTCCCCACCCCGCCCCGCCACACACACACACACAGAGTATGTGTTCCTCCTCCAGATATTATTCAGGATTTGTCCTTGAAATGAGGGCCTTTCTGCCACTGTAGGCAAGTGGAGAATGATGGGAAAATGCTGTAAAATTGGTTAAAGGCTATAGGATATTTTGTAACTAATCATATTAAAGAAGGCTGTCCTACAAGCAACAAAGGATAGATAAAAACTTTAGAGATATCCAGTCCAGTATGTTGATTAAGGAATACTATTTAATTCTATTCCACAACTTCAGTCTTTTAATTCTATATATCTGTGAAGGCACTTAGCATATTTAAGGTAATGGATATTACTTTCAATGTGTAATTTTTGATACTGGAGGTGTGAGGTTGACAAAAGTAACCATGGCATTTGGTATGTATGACTTTAAGTCTCCTTTTACTGTTTTATTACAGAAACTAAAACCTGAATGTGGCCTATGGAAATGTTTAGCCAACTTTGGTTACATGTGCTTATTTGCTTATTGATCATTTTACCAATTAACTGAAGAAAAGCATACATTTTAATCTTTTTGCTCTTTTTGCCTGATGAGGTCCGCAGCAGTTGGTTTCTGACTAGGTAATGAAAATTTGTATTTGTATTATTCTAAGAAAATTCAGGAAGTGAAGTCAGTAACTCGAACAAATTGTTCGCTTTCTTCCAAGCCAAGTAAACACATTCCAAATTATTCAACGATTGCTGAATTTACTTGAGTATATAATTAAGAGGTGATTACAATTAGAATGTATGTAAGAGTTTTACTAGATTATGAAATTTTATGCCTAAAGTAGGCAATGATAAAAATTTAAGAGGAGTGACATGATTCCCTCGTGGGAACACCAGATTTTAGTAAAAGACAGAGGGATCAGTTGATTTTTGTTGCGCGTGGGTCACCGGCCAGCAGTGACCACGGAACGCTGTGGATGGCTCGACAATAAACACGCGAGAAATAACAACATGCACAGAGACAAACTAGTTTCTGTGGGGAAGTAGGGACAGAATGGCCACCCCCCCCTAGTGGGGAGCACGCTGATTTACCGTCCATACCTGCTTTTATTAGGCTCATTTTGCATAATAATTCAGGTAAAGTACAGCACTCACCAGGGGAAGTAAGGAACTATAGAAAACAAAGAACTCTGCCCGTCTATTGAGTTGGGGGTCAAAGAGCTGTAAGGCTGAGGAACAAACTAGCTTCCTCCTAAGACCCTTCTCATTCAACTGAGAGCATTCCAAACAAAGAAGGTTTCACAGTAATTTACATGTTCTTTCTTAGGCCTGATCACCCCGGGAAATCCGCACTTCTCAGTACCGAGCTGTACTACCCTGTCATTGTTTCAGGCTTAGGTGGAGCACGGGAACTAAGGCCACCGAGAGATAAGGAGATTTTCTTCCGGACACTGAGAACTCAGACTTTGTCAAAGCCGAGGAGTGAGGGTCCATCACCCCCTTTTGCTGCAGCCCCCCAAGTCCTTCTTTTGGGGGGGCCTCCCAAAGTGATCGTGCCTGGCTTGGGTTGTTCCCCCCGTGGGGAATCTTACCCGTCTTTGGCTAACCGACCAAGCTTTTTGGGGGTTCAGCAGCAGAAGCAGCATTCCTGCCAGGGAGATAAGCTTTTGTCTCCTTGCTGGCTCACGGTTCCAAGGGCGTTCCCTTAGCCTTAGCCTAGGCGGGGGTTTCAGCCTCTGATACCAGTCAGGGCGGTTCCCAACAGATTTTTATTTACCATTTAAGACAACACAGTAGGAAGAGTTAATAAAATGGCAGTCACACCTGGAGAGGGCCTGGGAAGGGCAGGGATGATTTATATTAGTATGTGGGTCCAAGATGAAACAGGTAACAGAGTTTTTGCTTCACATGTTAATTGTAATTAACAGGCATATAGGGATTTAAAGTGGAGAGATAGGGAAAGTAGTGACTAGACAGTAGTGGGAAAGACTAGGACTGAATCAAGGCATTGGAAGACAGAAGTACTGAGTACAGCGTTTATTTTTGTTTATTTTTTATTATTTATTATTTTCAGTAGAAATAACCAAACACAAAATTTAAGTTGGATTTGTTATGCTACTACAACTATGGGAAACCCTGAAAGTGGATGGATTCTCTGGCTAAAAGCATGTCTTTTTAAATTTTTTATTTAATCTTTATTGTATTTTTTTCCATTACCATTTAGTCCCCTTAAGTCCCCTGCCCCCAGCAATCACCACGCTGTTGTCCATGCATGTCTTAAAGCATAGAACAAAGGGTCAGACCTTTCAGGTTTTCCATTTAAGCTGGCAGAAAACGTCCACAGGACTGGAAATTTCCAGAGATATTTACAGTAGCATAACCTGATAGCTAACCTTTCTCTTTCTCATGTTGGACCATGCCAGGAGCCCAGCTCTGAGCTGTCCACTAACTGGGCTGACTTACAACTTCTGAAGTCGGACTCAGAAACATAGCAATGGGGAATGGACCAACCAAAGGGTTTAAATGAGCAGATTCTAATTCTGGTAAACTGGATGAATGGAGGAATGCCTTACTTGCATGTATAGTTTCAGAGTATCTTGTTTTAGCAGTCATATTTGACCTATAAAATTATGACTTATGTATTAATATAAGGTCTTTTTTTCCAGAACTCTTTAAATCATGGACAAACAAAGTAAGTAAATTAAGTGTAGACTTTTCTCTTTCAATGTTAAATCTGTTGTTAATACATTCGTTATCATATATTTTATTCAGTTTCTGAAATGATATGGTTTGCTTTGTGCGATTTATGTTCTAGTTCGGTGTTTTCATATACATGTGCACAGATTGTCACTACCACTAGTGTTTCCTTTTAAAATATTTTTTAAAAACCTTAGATAAACCTAAAAAATTTTAGACTTGCTGGAAAATACATTGTATAATTTATTTATATTTCATCTGGATCAGTTTTCTCTTTTCCATGTGTATTTCATGCACATTGAGTATTCAAACATATTAATTAACAGATATATTTAATATGTCATTTCATTGTCATAAAATCCTCACATAAATCCCTGATATGTATATATTTTTTTTCATAACATACGCACATGAATAATTTTAAATAAATACCAAACATGTTCTGCCTTTTTTTCTTTCAAGAAAATTTTAAATAATTTGAGTATTGACAAGCATCTAATAAGACTTTGTCTGATTAAAAATCTAAAGCAATCCATATGAGGGAAAATATAAAAAATAAAATTTTGTGTTCTGAAAGGTTTTATCATCTTTCTTTATTTTTGTTTAGATAGCCAAAGATGTTTGTCTCTCACCACAATGTCACTCTTGCTACCTATAGTATCATTTATTAGGACCAGAAACCTTTGCTCTTCTTTAGGAAGTTTTATGATTTTCTCTTTATGTCTTCTATAATAATTTAATCTTATTTGCAAAAGTCAAAGCTTTTTAACTGTAAATGTATATAATATTAAGTTATTTTGTTTGCTATTAACTTTGGGATGCTTCAAATCACTTCATAAAGATTCTTTTGGCCACAGTGATCGTCACCTTTTTTCTTTTTTCTTTCTTTTCTTTTCTTTTAATTAATTAAAATTTTACACTTGGAAAAAGGACTTTGCCTCAACTCAGCACTAACACCTACTGGGATAAATTTACAAAATAACTTGAAAGCAGCTCTTATGATTAGGAGTCAATGGTAGGAGTTTCTATTTTGTTAAACAGGGTATGTCTTCTTTTTTTTTATTGAATTTATTTGGGTGACACTGGTTCACAAAACCATACATTCAAGTGTACAACTCAATGAAACATCATCTGCACATTGTAGCGTGTGCCCATTGCCCAAAGCAAAGTCTCTTTCCATCCCCATTCTCCCCCACTTTGCCCACCTCCACCTTTCACCTATCCCTCTTTCCCTCTGACCATCACCACACCGTTTCTATGTCTATGTATTATGTACATTTTATGGGGTTTTTTTTGTTTAATCACTTAACCTTTTTTCATCTAGCCCTCCAACTCTGACAGCTCTCAGTCTGTCTCATGTGTCCATGCCACTATTTCTATTTTGTTTGTCACTTTATTTTGTTCATTAGACTCTGCAGTCACCTTTTAACTTTTCAGTTTCATATAGATAAATTGTACATATATATGTTTGCATAAATAGAAATGAAGTATAAATATGTATACTTTATATATACATATGCATACATTAAATGCATATATGTAAATATACATATATAAAAATTAAATACCTTTAAACAGTATGATACTCCTATGATTTTATAAGTTACTTCAAGTTGCATTTCTCAAATCCATTTGTGATTCATATGCTCTTTGCTCTATTGGGTTCAATTTGCACAAGAATACAGGTAAAGCTCATCAGTCATTGTCAGGCAGTAAGGATCAAACAATACATAACATTCAAAGAACCACAAGGGCTTATTCTGAGCTAAAGGGCCATAAAACTTTTGGAAACAAATTCATTTTTTGCTTGGACCCTTATCAGAAAATTGGGGGCATTCTTAGCAAAGCTGGTTTCACAGGATTTTATGCATTCTTTCTTAGGCCCAATTGCCCCAGGGAACCACCCATTCCTGCCCAGGGCTGCACCGCCCTCCAGCATTGTTTCAGGCTTAAGTCAGGCAGGGGAAATAAGGCAGCCAAGAGATTAGGAGACTTCTTGCAGACAGAATGAGGACTCAGGCTGTGTCAAAGCTGAGGGGCGAGGGTCTATTACTCCCTTTTTCTATAGTCCCCAAGTCCTTCCCTGAGGGCCCCACTGTGACTACGCCTGTCTCAGGTCATCCCTCCCTTGAGGAATCTTACCCGTCATTGGCTAACCAGTCATTCGCCTGGGGCCAAGCAGGTGAAGTAATGGGGGCAGAGGCTGTGCCCCTGGCGGAAGATATACTTTGTCTCCTTAGTGGCTTATGGTCCCCAGGTCTTTTACTCAGTATTAGCCCTGGGGGATTACAGCTTCGGAAACCAGGTAGGGCAGTTCCCAACTGTCTTTTCTCAAACTTGTAGTGGATTTCCTGGAGATCTATTGAGTCTGATCCTGTTATCTTCAACTCAGGTTGAGAGTGGGGGCTGTGAGCAAAGCCTTGAGAGAAACAGAAGGGCGTGGTTAGAAGGAACAGCCTGTGGTATTTCAGAAATACATGATAATTCGGGGAATGTTGCAGTATCTGCCTTGATGGAAGTAGATTCTCTGTTGCCTGGATTTGCAGTCTCCATGGACTTCATTCTGCTGACCTTACTATGAAGCCAACTGAATGGAGGAGAGAGGGGGCCCCAGAATCCAGCTTTCCTGCCGAAACCACATGGGTAGAGTGATTTTAAAAGGCACATGAAAGGGACACATACTGGAAATGTGTGAGATTGAAAGTCTAGCCAACATTTCCATGTGACATGTCCCCATGATTCAAAAAGAAACTTCTGAATTTACAGTTAGTAAGTCATGGGAAAGAGAGGAGGGCATAAGTGTAGTGTGCACTGGACTATGAGTTCCATGAGGGCAGCCCCAGAGCCTAACTCAGGGGTGAGACAGGAGATGCTCCATAAATATTTATTGTCAGGTTGGGGTGGCTGTTGAATGAATAATTGGAGAAACAAAAAAATGAAGGACTCGGATGCTGAACCATTTATACATATTTTGGGGTCATTTAAAGCAGGTAACATTTAATGTTACTTTATTATAGTTAAGGCAGTTATGATATTTGTAGATCAAAGTCAGTCAAATATTAGAATTTACTTTGGTCACCCTTATTAGGATAATTCCAGAGTAAGCATTAAAAAAACACTTTTAGAAAAAAGATTTAAATACAGCTATGTATGCATTATATTAAATATTTAGTGGAGGCTTATGGGGTAGAGGGATCTAGCAAAAAAGAAAAAGGACTCATGGACACAGACAACAGTGTGGTGATCGCAGGGCAGAGGGGGTGGTGGAGGTGGGAGAGGGTATAGGGAGCATAAATGGTAAGGGAAAAAATAAAACATACATTGAAAACATTTAAAAATAAGAAATTCCTGTAGTAGTGATTATAGATATCTTTAAAATCAGTCATAATCCTTTCATTCCCATCTACACATTTACCTGTTTTTATTTATCTCTTCATACTCTAAATGTGTTTTTACAACACTCTTTTTTCTAATACGAACAAAATAAAAGTATGGAAGTGAACACTCATCAGGCATAGCCGAAAACTAGAAATTCAACCCCAGTAACTCAAGCTGTCTTATTTCATCCAAAAGAGAATTTGTTTGTATCAGGATTCTACAACAAAATGATTCTGGTAACAAGCACAGCTTTTGTTAAATGGAGAAATCACTCTCTCTATTTCAATACAGCATAAGATCATACAAATGAAGTTATGTATAGATTCTCTATTTTTCTTTCTAATAAGTATTTCATTAAAGCACATATATGTTTGCCTCTCCTTGAATTACAGACGGGCAAATGAATGCTCCTCACCCAGGAACAAATTTCCCAGCTGCGTATCCTCAATATCCTCCAGCAGCATTCCAAGGTAAAAAAAATTTTCAAGGTATAAAACCAAGGTAAATCAATCATTGATATTCCCAAAAGGGCAGGTGTGTGTGTTTCTGTCTGTCTGTATATTTATTATAGTATTGCACTTTGTTGAAGGTGCAATAATGAAATTGCCAGCCTAGCTCTTGATTGTTTGTGGTTGACGATATCTTATCATAAGTATCATTAAAGTAAGTTTTATTTATGCAGGGTAGTAAAGGTATAGAGTTAGTAAAAATAGTAGTGAGTTTACATTTAGCAAGTGAAATATAAAGCTGCATGTAACTTAAACCCCAAAATAAACAAGTAAAATATTATATTGATTCTCCATCTCTTCAGAAAATTGTGATCCTGTAATTACATTTAGAAGATTTAATCCTGAGTGTTTTTGAGTCACGCATAGCTCAGGTTAATTGTTCAGTGAGAGTAACAGAAAAGGCATGACTGCTTTAATAAAACAAAGCTACAAGCAGTAGAAACGTAGTTACCTGGGCATAATTCTCATTTTCACTTTGTAAAATGTAAAAGCTTTCTTTTTGTTTACATGCTGAATTACGCCTTGCATTTGAGTAGGCAGGCTACCCACATCTTGAGAAACCATTGGGGGACTTTTGATTTCAGGTTTGAAGAGAAAGTTATATGCATTTTGTATTCTACTCTGAACAGTCTGCTTAGGAGCCGAATGGTCTGTTGAATTGTCTAACCGGAAATCTCCCAGTGGGGCCCAGATGTCATCAGATGTTTGCAATTAAAATAATGTGAGCTAGAAAAAATCCAAGGCTCTAAGGTAATTGTCTCAAGAGTACCTGTTTTAAGTGTTCCATGAGAGCTCTTAAAAACACTAGTGCGAGAGCACAATCCCAGAAAAAAACTAAAGGAGAAGCTCAGGGAGTGGGACTCAGGGACTGGTAATTTTTTAATTACCCAGGTTAGTCTAACTGGCAGCCAGGACTTCAAACCACTATTCTAAATTCTTATATGGTTGGTATTCAGTCAATTACTAGCAAGTCTGTAATACTCATCTAAGGAGAGATGAGAGGAGGCACTTGGAGAATGATTTAATCCACCTATAACTAATTAAAAGTAGATGATACATAATTAAATTGGTTATCATAAGACTTGAGAGTTTGTAGGAAAAAATAGCTCAATTTTACTGTTCAAGTTCAAGGCCACATATAGCATAGGTTTTAATGTAACAATACTGATAGCTTAATATTGAGAGCTTATTTGCCTAATGTGGATGAACTCATTTAATTCTCGGATACCCTTATGAGGTAAATGCATTAATTATTCCTATTACCCAAGTGGGAACACAGGTATAAAGAGGCTTATTCAGGCTTCAAATTCTGGCTTCTGTACTTAATAGTTGTTGTTGGTTTTAAACAAATTGCTGTACCTCCAAGCCTTAGTGCTTTTAAAAAAAAATTATTGTATTTTTTCCATTACATTTATATATCCCTCCTTCAGTCACCACTCTGTTGTCTATGTCTATGAGTCCTTTTTCCTTTTTGGTTGATCTGCCATCCCCTAAGCCCCCTTTCCCCCCAGCTGTCATCCTGCTCACTATCTATGAGTCAGTCTCTATTTTGCTTGTTAGTCCGTCTGTTCATTAGATTCTACATATGAGTGAAATCATATGGTTTTTGTCTTTCTCTGACTAGATTTCACTTAGCATAATGTTCTCTAGGTCGACCCATGCTGTCACAAAAGGTAAAATTTTCTTTTTTTACAGCCGAGTACTATTCTGTTGTGTAAATGTCCCATAGCTCTGTTACCACTCATCTACTGATAGACACTTGTGCTGCTTCCATATCTTGGTGATTATAAAGAACACTGCAGTGAATATAGGGTTGCTTATCTTTTTTCAAATTAGTGTTTTGGGTTTCTTTAGATAAATTCCCAGAAGTGGGATCACTGGGTGAAGAGATCCATTTTTAATTATTTGAGGTATCTCTATACTGCTTTCCACAGTGGCTGCACCAGTCTGCATCCTAGCCGACAGTGGAAAAGGGTTTCCCTTTCTCCACATCCCTGCCAGTACTTGTTGGTTGTTGATTTATTGATGATAGCCATTCAGACAGGTTGAAGATGATATCTCATTGTGGTTTTAATTTGCATTTCTCTGGTATTAGTGACATTGAGCATCTTTTCATATGTCTACTGGCCATCTATATGTCCTCTTCAGAGAAGTATATATTCAGTTCTTTGGCCTATTTTTTCATTGGGTTGTTTCTTTTTTTTTTTGGTGTTGAGTTTTGTAAGTTCTTAATATATTTTTGGATATTAACCCCTTATCAGATGTATCAGCAAATATGTTCTCCCATTCTGTGGATTGTCTTTTTATTTTGTTGATGGTCTCCCTTGCTGTGCAAAACTTTTTAGTTCAATGTAGTCCCATTTGTTTATTATTTCTTCTGTTTCCCTTGCCTATGCTGAAGATATATCTGATAAAATATTGCTATAAGTAATGTTCAATATTTTGCTGCCTATTTTTTTTCTAGGGTTTTTATGGTTGCAGATCTGTACTTGTCTTTAGTCCATTTAGAATTTATTCTTGTGTGTGCTATAAAAAGGTGGCCTAGTTATGTTTTTCTGTACATATCTACAATTTTCCCAATACCATTTATTGAATATCTTTAGCCCATAATATGTGCTTGCTTCCTCTGTCAAATATTAATTGGCTACAAAGGTGTGAGTTTATTTCTGGGCTCTCTATTCTGTTCCAGTGGTATATGTGAATGTTTTTATGCCAGTACCATGCTGTTTTGATTATTATAGCTTTATACAGTTTGATATTAGGTAGCATGATTCCTCCAACTTTGTTCTTTCTTAGAATCACTGCTGCTATGTGTAGTCTTTTGGGGATCGATATAAATTTTTGAAATATTTGTTTTAGTTCTACAAAATATGTCACTAGAATCTTGATAGGATTTGTGTTGAATCCATATATTGCTTTGGATAGCACGGTTATTTTTTTTTTTAAACAGAATGATTATATTTCAATACACAACTTGCTTACAACCAAAAACTAAAACAGCACAGTAAAATAACAAAAATATGGTATTACATTTGCAATGCATGAGATATGGTTAACACTTTCATCATAAATGAGCTCTTAAGAAACCAGTTACAAAGACACCAACAATCCACGGGAACTGGAAAAAAAAAAGGAAATAATACAAATGGCAATTAAGAATTAAGACTATGATGAGTGTCCTGAGCATTGACTGATAATAATTTCTCCGTGGTATCACACTGTCAAAGCACAAACATGCTGTGCTGTGCAGTCTGAACTCTCATACACGCCGAGATTGATGAGGACTCTCTACAATTAGGCGGCTGCTACTGTTTGACTCAAAATATAAATTTTGGACTTCTTTAGCCCCCAGCTTTTCTAATGACTTAAAATTATTTCAACAAATTACTTGGAACAAATTCAAAGTGAGTTTGCAACTGCACATTTACTGCACAGAAATCATGTAGCCAGTATCTGGGCACCAAAACACTACTTGACTACCAATTCATTCGTCAACACAACCCAAGAGGGTGTGCACAACACTCCACTGATGATCACATCACAGGGAGCAGAATCAGTAACAGTTTGAGAACTGTGTATGGTGCCAGGTGGGTGCCTGAAATATGGGGTGGAACATTTTGAAGTATATGACTGTCTAATTACTGTGCTGGATACCTAAATCTAATAATATAAAATAGTAATGAATGTCTAATATAATTGAAAAATCAAAAAGAGGCAATCTATACTGGGTACTAAAAAAAGAAAACAAAGGCACTTGAAGGGAAACTACTGAATATATACTTAACAACTATCTATGTCCTCTAAAATCACAAGATGACTTCTAGTGACTACATTTCAAATCCACCCTACGGTGCGTGGAGTCAAACACATGCCCTCGGGGATAGCATGGTTATTTTAATGATATGAATTCTTCCTATCCATAAGCATAGTATGTGCTTCCACTTATTTGTATCATCTTCAGTTTCTTTCTCCACTTTTTTATAATTTTCCAAGTGCAGTTCTTTTACATCCTTGCTTATGTTTATTCCTAGATATTTTATTCTTTTTGTAGCAATTGTGAATGGTACTGTGTTCTTAATTTCCCTTCCTGTTACTTCATTATTGGCTTATATAAATGCAACTGATTTATTTTGTATCCTGTTACTTTACTGAATTCATTTATCAATTCTAGTAGTTTGGGGTTAGGAAATTTAGGTTTCTCTTTATATAGTATCATATCATTTGCAAATAATGACAGTTTTACTTCTTCCTTTCCAATTTGGATGCCTTTTATTTATTCTTTTTGTCTGATTGCTGTAGCTTGGACTTCCAACCCATGTTGAATAAGAGGTGAAAGTGGACATCCCTGCATTGTTCCCAATCATAAGGGGAACACTTATAGTTTTGTTCCATTGAGTATGGTGCTGCCAGTGGGTTTGTTATGTTTAGGTATGTCCCCTCTATTCCCACATTTCTAAGAATTTTTATCATTAATGAGTGCTGGATTTTATCAAATGTTTCTCCTGCATCTATTGATTGGATCATGTGGTTTTTATCCTTTATTTTTATTACATGGTGAATCACATTTGTTGATTTGTAAATGTTGACCCAAAGTTGTATTCCCAGAGTAAACCCCACTTGATCGTGGTGTATGATCTTTTTGATGTATTGCTGTACTTGGTTTGCTAATATTTTGTTGAGAGTTTTAACATCTGTGTTCATCAGAGATATTGGACAACAATTCTATTTTTGTAGGGTCTTTATCTGATTCTGGAATTAGGATAATAATGCTGGCCTAATAAAATGAGCTTGAGAGCCTTCCCTCCTCTTGAATTTTTTGAAATATTCTGAGAAGTGTTAGCTCTTCTTGGAATATTTGGTAAAATTCCCCTGTGAAGCCATCCAGTCCATGGCTTTTATTTGTTGGGAGTTTTTGGATTACTGCTTCAGTTTCACTAGGTGTAATCTGCATTCAGATTCTCTGATTCTTCCTGATTTAGTTTTGGAAAATTGTATGTTTCTAGAAATTTATCTATTTTGTCTAGGTTGTCCAGTTTGTTGGCATATAACTATTCATAATACAGTGATCCCTCACCTATCGCAGCAGTTACGTTCCAGAGACACCTGAGACAGGTGAAAATCTGTGAAGTAGCGGCGTTATATTTATTTTATTATTTATATATAGTTTAAGGCTTTATAAACCATTCCCACCCTCCTATAAATCTTTCCCACCCTCTTACTAACCTTTCCCACACTCTTATAAACATTTCATATGCTCTTAAACACTTTCTACACTCTTAAACCTACGTAATTTTAACAAAATAGAAAATTCTATATGGGTACTCACCAGTGAAGTATACAGTCGTCCCTTGCTATATCAGGGTTCACTTTATTGCGGCTTCACTGTATTATGGGTTTCCCATGATAGTGAACCGCGATATAGCGAGGGACTACTGTATTTTCTTATGACCCTTTGTATTTCTTTGGTATCAGTTGTTATTTTTCCTCGCTCATTTCTGATTTTATTTATTTGAGTCCTCTTTCTTTTTTGATAAATCTAGTTAAATGTTTGTTAGACTTGTTTAATTTTTCAAAGAAACAACTCTTGGAGTCATTGTTTTTTATATCATTATTTAGGCTCTATTTTGTTTATTTCTTCTCTGATCTTTATTATTTCCTTCTTTTGTTCACTTTGAGATTTTTTTGTTTGTTCTTTTTCAAGTTCCTTTAAGTATAAAATTAGATTGTTCATTTGAGCTTTTTCTTGTTTTTTGAGATAGGCCTGTAATGCTATGAATTTCTCTCTTACGATTGCTTTCTTTATGTCCCACAGATTTTGGACTGTTGTGTTCTCATTCTCATTTGTTTCAAGGTATCTATTGATTTCTTCCTTGATCTTCTTGTTGAGCCATTCATTGTTTAATAACATGTTATTTAGTTTCCATGTCTTTGTGTGTCTTTCAGTGTTCTTCTTGTTATTGATTTCTAGTTTCATTGCATTGTCGTCAGAGAAGATGCTTGATATGATTTCAGTCTGCTTAAATTTATTGGGACTTGTTTTTTGTCCTAATGTGATCTATCCTAGAAAACATTCCATGTGCACTTGAAAAGTATGTATATTCTGCTGTTTTGGAGTGAAATGCTCTGAAGGTATCAATTAAATCCATTTGATCTGGTGTGTCATTTAAGACTGCTGTCACCTGGTTGATTTTCTGTCTGGAAGATCTATCCATTGAAGTAAATGCTGTAATATCACCTACTATGACTGTATTTCTGTCAGTCTCTCCATTTATGTTCATCATGATTTGCTTTCCATATTGAGGTGCTCCTATGTTGTATAAATGTTTACTAGGGTTATATCCTCTTGTTGGATCATTCCCTCTATCATTATGTAGTGACCTTTTTGTCTCTTAATAGCCTCACTTTTAAAGTCTATTTAGTCAGATATAAGTATTGCTCTCTTGGCTTTTTTTCCCCTTTCCATTTGCATGAAATATCTTTTTCCATCCCTTTATTTTTAGTCTGTATGTATCTTTCAACCTGAGATGGGTCTCTTGGAGGCAGCATATATATGGGTCTTGTTTCCTTATCCATTCAGCTATCTTATGTCTTTTGGTTGGAGCATTTAAGCCATTTACATTTGAAGTGATTATTGATATATATGTATTTAATGCCATTTTATTGTTAGACTGTTTCCCTCTGTTGTTGTTGTTTTTTATTTTTTTTATTTTTCTTCTTAAAGCAAGCCCTTTAATATTTGTTGCAATACTGATTTGGTATTAACAAACTCCTTTAGCTTTGTCTGGGAAGCTCCTTATTTCTCCTTCCATTTTATATGATAGCCTTGCTGGGTCAAGTAACCTCAGTTGCAGGTCCTTGCTTTTCATTACCTTGAATATTTCATGGCAGTTCCTTCTGTCCTGAAACATTTCTGTTGAGAAATCAGATGACAGTCTAGTTGGTGCTCCCTTGTAGATAACTGCCTGCTTTGTTCTTGTGGCTATTAGGATTCTCTCCTCATCTTTAAGCTTTGTGATTTTAATTATGTTGTGTCTCAGAGTAGGCCTCTTTGGGTCCACCTTGTTTGGGATTAACTGTGCTTCTTGGACTTGTCTTTTTCCTTTAACAGACTAGGGATGTTTTCCATTATTTCTTCATATGGTTCTCGATGCCTTGCTTACTTTCTTTCCCTTCTGGTATTCCCATGAAGTGGGTCTTGTTATGCTTCATGTTGTCCCAAAGGTTTCTTAAGCTCTCTTCATATTTCTTTGTATTCCTTTTCTTTTGCTGCCCTGCTTGGGTGTTCTTATCTACCATGTCTTCCAAATCGCTGATCTGATTATCTGCTTCAAAATTGATGATCTGCTTCATCTAACCTACTGTTTATTCCTTCTAGTGTATTATTTATTTCAGATATTGCAATCTGTATCTCTGATTGGTCCTTTTCTATTGTTTCTTTGTCTTTTTTCATGCTGTTTGTTTCTACTATAATCATTACTCTAAACTCTCTATCCAATAAATTGTTGTCTCTATTTCATCTAGTTGTTCTGGAGAGAGTTCTCTTGCTTTTTTCATTAGGATCCTGTTTATTTGTCTTTCCATTTTGGTGCTTCTTTGTTTTTGCTTTTATGTAATAGGTAGACTACACAGGACTGGGTCTCGCCTATGTCAGTCTCTTCCTTTGACTGGCCGTGGGCAACCTATTTGGAGCTAACAGCAATCCAAAGCTTGTGGCTCCCTCTGCTGGGCCAGTTTTTGTACAGAAAAAAACAGGCTGTGCACCAAGCCTGGCTTTTACCAGCCTGACAGGGGCCAGGAGAGTGTTTGCTAAAGTCAGAGCTTACAGAGATCTGCCTTTGTCTGAAGTCATTCTGTTAGGCTTTGTCTCTGAAATAGCCTCCGTTTATACTCTTCAGCAGCCAAGCTAAAACTCCAAAGGGTAGAGCAAGAGTGATTCCTGTAGGTGGGGCTGTTGCTTCCCCCCAGGCTGATGCCCCTTGGAGGGGAGTGCTTTGCCTGAGAAAGATGGCTTCTGAAGAATGGGGAATGACTCAGCACAGAATACAACATAGGGATACTATACTTCTCTCCCCAGAGCCACCAACCCCAGCCCTCTTTGTGTGTCCCTAGTGCACTCTGCCCTACCTCTTCTGGAGTCCAGGGTAAGTGGCTACAAACAACATTTTGTGTTTTGGTCCCTTAAGAGGCTCTCAGCATCTCTAACTATCTCTCTCTGGTGGAGAGGAAGCCTGCTGCTTTTCACAGCTGAATGTTATTTGGGTTCTGTTCCCAGTTCCGTCGCGACTGTTCAAGGCCAGACAGGTTCACAGTATTCGGGCAGATGGAAGAATATTCACAGAGCCGTGGGGATGCTTGAAATGACTTTATTCAAGGGTGGGCGAGCCACGCATGCTGCAAGCTGTGTGTCTCCCTGCATGTCTCTGTGTGGCACATGCCATGTCCCTTGCTCACCAGCATAGCACCCAGCAAGGGGCCTCTAGTCCCTCTTAATAAAATACTAGGACAAACAAAGCCAGCTTCAAGCCAGGAAATTATATAACATAACATAATTCTGTATATGGGAGCCCACCTCATGTAATGGGAACCATTTATTGGACCCAGTCTCAAGGCTATGAGAAAACTACTTACCAGACCCCTTCATGATTATGGGAACACTGCTTCCCTTTGTTACCCAGACACCTGGGTGAGGAAGCCAGACTTCTTCCACTTACTGTACAGGTGCACTAGGCTGGGGAGCCCAGCTTGAGATTCAAACTCCACACCTCCCAGGGGGAACCTAGTCACTGAAATATACCACTGGAACTTCAGCTGCCACCCATGGGTGGCCAGCCAGCCCTCTCCTGCCTCCACATGAGAAGTATACACTTTTGAAGTTCATATGGAGTATAGAGTATACACAGTATACACTGTGCTTATTAAGTACTTAAGACAGTTTTTCATGATAACTTTTTACCTACCCTGTTTCAAATTGTGTTTCCAGATAGCCGAGGGTGCTAAATTGTGAAATTTAAATCTGTAACCTTATGTTATTGTGGATTTTTTTTTCATGTAGAGGGTATTAAGAATGGAATATAGTGGACTCAAACTTCAGCAAAATTGTTAACCTAGAAAATTACATGGAAGGAATGTCATGCCTTTACCTATATACCAGGGTTTTTCAACAGCAGCAGTATAATATTTGGGGTTGGATACTTCTTTTTCTTCAGGATGCAATTTGGGGCACTGTAGTATTTTTAGCAGCATTCCTGGCCTCTGTCCACCAGATGTCAGTATTACCCTCCTCTTGTTGTGACAGCCAGAAACATCAAGGGGCAAAACCATCCCCAGTTCTGGACGTATAAGAGATACCATTTGTTAGAATTTCAGAATTACCATTTATTACAGAGTGCTTTGGTCCTAGAAATCCTGGCCTAAACCTTTATTTTTGGTCCACTACTCAATGTCCTCTCTCTTTTCCATGAAAGCATTCCAGAGTACTTATACAGGTGACTCTAGATCATGGTTGATTTTCTTCCACTTTCTTAGGTTTTAAGCATCCTTTCATCTGAGTTTTGAATGGTAAGAGTAAGGCCTGGACCAACTCTATTCCTCCCAAAACTCTCAAAATAGTAGTGTATATGAAACCACAGATATTTAATTGAAAATTTGCTAAAAGATAAACACATGAATTTTATGCTTCATAGACACAGGACTTCTGATCTGAAATTACTGGGGTAATCCCACAGAGTTGACACTTCTGTTCTTCAGTGAAGTTACAAATTATTTTACTTGTTCATATTTTAGGACCTCCAGGACATACTGGCTACCCAGGCCCGCAGGCGCCCTATCCTGGAACTCAGGCAGGTCATCCTGGCCCCTATGCTAACTACTCAGTCCCACCACATGGCTATTCAGGTGCTGGTCCAGTGGGCTTTCCGGTCCAACACCAGCCAGTGTACAATCAGCAAGGTGGACCTGCAGGGACACCGTGGATGCCAGCACCACCACCTCCATCAGACTGCCCACCAGGATTAGAATATTTAACTCAGGTAATCTCAAATGCATTAAATAGCCATAAAAAATAAAACTGTGCCCCAGTTTACTTATGGACAAACGACTAATTCACAAAGTCTGAAATGGTAAAGCAACATTTTTGGTTTTTTGCTAACAAAATTACTCCAGTTGTTCTAAGTCAGGTTTATTTAAAGCAAATTACAAATGTTTTAGGACATTTTGTTTTGTATGATGTGGAATATCCGTGGTAATAGCCAATCACACATTTATTGAGCATCATTTCCCAGACTTTGTTCCTATGAATTATACAAGTATTAACTCATTGGATCCTTTCAAAAACTCCTTGATATATAGGTGCTATAATTATCACCAATTTATAGGAGAAGAGACTGTGTTCCAGAGAAGTTACACAAAATGCTCAGCATCAAGATGCCGGGGGAGTGGGAATGGCTTTTTACTTGTGGAAACTTAAGTCTGTGTGCGGAGGCTCAAATCCCAACAACAAAGAAAGCTTAGTGTTGAGTTTCAGTAAGTGGCACCAAAAAAAGAATACTTTGTATGTAATATAACTCACTTTCCTCAATTTGCCCACATTGATAGTGAACAGATTCAATAGATATTTTTAATTAAAAATATGTTAACTTTGATTACACCTACAAGTAATGTAAACTGTCATTACATATAATATTGGTAAGTATTATTAATTAATTATATATTCTTTAAAATATAAAAACACTAATGTAAATTTAGTTGTCATAAAAAGTGATTTTTGATTTACATCTTAACTTTTTTTTTTTGCTATAATAGATAGATCAGGTACTGATTCATCAGCAAGTTGAGCTTCTAGAAGGTATGTATTGATTATATTTCTGTAAGAGAAGATGTTTATGCAAGTAAAAACATGTTAACAACCACAGACACAACACTTTCACTGATGTGGAATGATTAAGCCTGGTTATTCACAAATGTCTTTCATCCTGATAATGATGATTGTCAGCAGCTCATTTCTGGAAATTAGGAGTCAAGTAGTAAAATACTATTACTCTGGGCATCTGTCCTCATGATACAGGCCGTAATTTATGAGGAAACCAGCCAAAGCTTTCTTTTGCTCCCACTTTTCTCTAGAAAGCATACAGTGATTTATTTATCACTTTCCCTGGCTTCTGTCACTTAAGCACTTTTCTCCCCAATATGTGATAACCTTGAGGTTGGCACAGACCACATGCAATAGTACAATTACTTAGTACATTTCCAGAGTGCATAAATGTTTTTAATTTGGACGGCTGTGTTTTAGAAAATCACATTCCTGCTTGCAGTTTCTCTTGGGAGTTCAGATGAATCCTGTAAAACCTTTTTGCCACGGGCTGAGGATTATCACTTTGGATGTGGGAGATTGCTGACCAACAGGCCAAGAGGTCTGGCTTCCTTAGACAGTATTCCTGCTGACATGCATGGGCCTGAGTCCAGCAGGTGTCTCCCTGGGTCCTGTGTGCCTCATGCAGAAGATAACCTTAGGAGGTCGCTAGGTGTTTCAGAACTCCAGCCAGCGACATTTGTGAATGATGAATGGAGAAGAACCATTATTCTGGCTGGAGAAGAACCATTCTTCTACACATAGAGTTTAATGAAAACCCTGCTAGTTTTTAGAATAAGTCTATTAAACCCTTCTTCACCACTCTAAAGTTTCCTTCTACAGGCAGAAATTATAATATGAATTACACTAATTGGTAATAGATTAGGTTAGAATGTACAATTATTATTTATTGTATTTTAATTACAATGTACATTGTTAGATATTTATAATGTTCTCATTACTGTTAGCTTGTTTAAACTAAGTCTAAACTGGAAAGGAGCTCTTTGTTGTTAGATAATTTACATTCTAAATTTTTTTAATGTCTTATTCTAGGGAATTTATTTTAAGATTATAAATCTCCCCCAATACATTATACAGTACTCCATTTATAGTTTTAAATTTATATGTTTTTATATGTTTTTAAAAAATATTTGTGTTAATCATGAAATATAAAGTACCAAATTTAGTAGTTATTTATTCTTGAGTTTTTAAAGGGGATATCTTTAATTTTTTGTCTCATATTGAAAGTCTATATTTTAACATTATGTATAATAGAACAAGATGCATATTACTCAGCTTATTTTTGGAATATGAGACTATGACAGCCACATTTCCCAATTCAAAACTTAATAGACAATAAAGACATAGCCATAGAATGTATTTGTTTTATTTATTTTCATTTTTTTAAGTAACTAGAAGGAAATTTAGAGATTGTATTATATTAACCCATTGATTTCATTTTATAGATAAATAGGCTAAAGATTTATGAGATTAAGTTCCATGAGATAATAGGTCTTAAATGAAACACTGAGATAATAGGGCTTAAATGAGTCAGAGCAAAGGCTTAGGGGAGATCATGGTGCTAGAATTTGTTCAGGATGTCTCTATCTGAATGAAACAGATACTAGAGAGTAGGCCATCCACACAGATATTAGAGAGTTTTCATTTTCATACATTTCTTTTAATCACTTTTTATATGAGTGGCTTGTGACATCCTACAACCCAAGTTAATGAGGGCTCTGGACGAGTGGGAACGTGAGTTGCTCCTTCCTGGCTCTGAGTGAGGAGCAGTTTCCAATGTGTGGTTCAGTCTGGAAAGACTTTCATAAGATACCACCAGTGGGCACCAGTAGTGAGCATATCTCTTTTCCCAGGTGAAGAGATTAGCCTCCTCTAAGGTACAGAGATCACTTAGGATGACAGTGGCCGGGATATTTTGTGAGTTGTGGCCTTGGTTGCCAAGCACCTTTCCCGCCATCTAATACCACCTCCCACCTCTGAACAAGTACTGCTGCATTAAACAAGGACCCTCTGGGCCCAGTGTGATGTTCTAACCTACCTTCCACTTTCACGATCTCCCTTTTTTCATGTATGCGAGGGGAGTAAACACCTTTATTACCTTCCCTCATTCAGTGCAAAAAGATAAGCCATGAATGTCTTATGAAACAAAATCTCAAGACAATTTATTTAAAGTACTATGTTTACTTAATACAGCATAAACATGGTAATCATCCTCTATTCCCCTCCCTGATTGAATATCTGAAAACAGCACCATGCAAATGGACATGACACTGTACACACCTAGCACAGCTGTGACCATCTGCAGCACGGCCCATTGCTCAGCAGCAAAGTCGCCTTTTCTGACACGAGTCTGTGGAATTAGGAAGATAAGGATTTTCTTTTTCATGTCTCACAGAGAAACTCTCAATTTTATACACCTTCACACCCTCTCCTGCTTCCCTTCCTTTGCTTTTTTCCTCTGTCTAGGTCACCTCTGTCTAAACTTTCCATTTGGTTCTCCTTATGTGACATGCAGTGTCACCTAAAAATGGTATAACTAGGTATTATACTATGTATTCCTATGTATACTAGGTATTACACTATGGTGTCTTAGGATAGATTCAGTATTCTTTTAATGTAATGGTCATAGTGATTCCCTTTTACGGTTTTAGTCTTAACAGGTTTTGAAACAAATAATAAATATGAAATTAAGAACAGCCTTGGACAGAGGATTTACTTTGCTGTGGAAGATACTGATTGCTGTACTCGAAATTGCTGTGGGCCTAATAGGCCTTTTACTATGAGAATTCTTGATCTTATGGGCCGAGAAGTCATAACTCTGGAGAGACCGCTAAGATGTACCAGCTGTTGTTGCCCGTGCTGCCTTCAGGAGGTCTGTGAGCCGTTACCTGAGTAATTTGTAAAGCAGCTCAACAAGAATTTTCACACTGTCATTGAACCTATATAATCAAATGAGATTTTCTAAAAATTGGTCCAGGAGCTGTTGTTTTATGCATGAGAGTATTTTGGACAGGAAGGATGGCAGGTGAAAAACAGTGACCAGTTAGCCCCCATGTCCCTGAGAAGTTTGTCTTGTGGGATTGAGCATCTGCTCAGAGACCAGACTTCCTAATGTTTGAGGAGAGCTGAGAAGATGAGGCACCTTGGTCAAGTCCCTTACTGGGAGTGACCCCATAGAGGCCTGGCCAAAGCCAGAGGAGGGAAACACAGACAGTATCCTAGAATACAGTTCCAGGAGCAAGTGTGCAGAAGAATGAGGACAAGAACATATAGTCATCTCACAATTTTGGCCAACATATTATGAAACATACCTAGGAGAGACCGCCTCTAAGAAATCTCAAGTCCTGTGTTTTTAAGATAACCATTTTTAAAAACTAATGTATTTGAGCCTCTGTCACAGAGGTATGGGTACCTTCAGGTCTGGGAAGACCAGATGTCTGTTTCATATTACTTGTCATCCCACTGATTTACAATGTGGATTCAGGGGGAGACACCAGGGCACAGAGAGTTTCTAGGCAAAGTTGGCCTTTGCCTACATCCCCCTGGCCTGAGACCAGCCCTTGCCTGGCTAGTCATTCCAGACAAGTAGCTCTGAGTCCGTGACACAGACAGGGGCACAAGTACATAGACATTTGAAGTTTCATACTGCATTTACTTTAAACAGTTAACTGAAGCTATTCCTACTGAATTCTTTTGTTCTTTATGTCATTTGGGTTAGTACTTGTCCATAGGAGTGTCTGAGGAAAACCAGAGTTTGAGGAAATATGCTCTGAATGTAAAGAGCACATTAGACTATTGATCTTAGAAAACAGTCTAGGAAGGCATCGTTTACAAAAGACTGTACTGTACTGTCCCCTCTAGGTCACCTGGCTAATAGTAGAGCCAAGATCCTCCCCATTTTCCTTACAGAAGCATTGCCACTCATACTGGAAAATTGAACCAGGGATCAGAGGTCTATTCACATGCCTGAACCATTATTTTTAGAGGAGTTTGAGAAAAGAGCTCCTTCACAACTTAGACATGTTTCATAAGTATGGAAACTTAAAAATGTACATCATCAGAGCAGTACTTTAGAGTAGAGTCTGTGTGTTCTGCCCGTCTGCATTTGTGTCTCACCTCTTCCATTTGTAGCAGGGGGATGTGATGCAAGTTAATGGACTCTCTGTTATTCCGACACCTCCTCTCTAAATAGGAATAATTATACCAGCCTGCCTAAATGTGTCATAAATCAAGTGGTGTTTAGCACACTGTCTGACACTTGGAAAGTATTAAATATATGAGAGTCATTATTTGACATTGTTATTATTACAATTTATATATGTTCTTTTGCTTTTGCAGATAGAAATCTGTTCTCCTCCTGGTGTACCAGTGGGTTATGTGTCTCAGAATTGGCACCCATGCCTGCCAATGTTTACAGTCCAAAATGAGAGGAGAGAGGATATACTAAAGATTAGTGGTCCATGTGTTGTGTGTAGCTGTTGCGCAGATATTGATTTTGAGGTAAGAGATATGATAATGCTTACAGGGTTTGCTTTCCTAATATAATAATAATATAAATTGGGTGTTACAAATACGTTTATTAAGTATGTATATCCTAATATCAAGTGGGAGACAGTACACTCATATATTTAACTTTGATCAGAAAGGTAGTTATTAATCTTATCGAGCTTCGGTGTGGATTGTGATCATTGAAAAAAGTGAAGCAGAGCCCTATAGTCAATAAATATAAGTGAAACAACTAGCATTTAAATGTGGTGATTTCTGTGTGGAAGTGCTATATATTATTCATTTTAAATACAACATTTACCTTGTCATCAATGTCTGACTGCCAAAGCCTATGAATCGATCTTTAGTCTTAAACACAGGCTGTTGGTGGCCTCAGCCCTCTTCAGAAGGTCGGACATCTTTGAGTTCCTACAGGAAGCCCAATGAGGCAAAGAGAGTTTTCAGGAAGGTAGTGCAAACTGTGCCACCTAGTTATGCTTCTCTGTGGTCTCTGCTTTATCTTTGTATTAAATTGATTGTTAGAAACCAAAATATTTCTGTGTACTTACTACATGGATCAATTTTATTACAGCAGTTTTCAAACAGATGGCCTAGCCTTACAGTTCACATTATTTAGTTGCAAATATTAAAAGTCAAGAGATTTTGTAACTTAATCTTGATTTTCACGTTCTACTGGAAAAGCTGAAAATGTGGTAAATGGGGCCCACATTTCTATAAAAGGAGCAGAAGCCAGGCTAAACCTGAATAGTGCTGCCCTGTTATAATAAATATGTGGGAACTCTGCCAAGTCTCCTGTGGCTTCCTGAGGTTTTCCACTATCCAGCTGCATTCTTTTATAGTATTCATCTGGTAATATGATATCAAATCACTGTTAGACCATGTTTATATAAAAATAAATCCTTCTCCACAATGATCTCAGAGTCTCATGAGGGAGACAAGCAATTCTAAGAAAACACACATGATGTAATAGACTTGATAAGATTCTCCAAAAGGGATATATTGGGTTGGCCAAAAAGTCCATTTTGTTTTTTCCATCAAGTATGAGGTTGGTCCACAAAAAGTCTAGCCATCATTAATATAACAAGAACCGTTTGTGCGACATTGATGTAACCTGGCAGCCAAGGAGAGTGGACTGGAATGCACATGCATGAACAATGGTAACTTCACTGTACTAGTCAGTGAGGGCAGTAGATAACTGTTGAATGAGCATGTGTACTCATGCTGTGTGGCCATCACATTCAATATGACTGAGTAAAGAACAAATCTGCATCAGATTTTGCATTAAGCTTGAACATTCCTCTATGGAAACTATTTTGGATGATTCAGAAGGCTTTCAGGACTGTGCAGTAAGTCCAGCACAAATAAAAGTGTGGCACAAATGCTTCAAAGATTGTCAAGAATCTGTTGAAAGTGATCCATGTTCTGGTAGGCCTACAACAAAGAGAACACCTGAGAATGTTGAACATGTACAGGCTGCATCAACAAAGGTCAGTGGCTGACAATGTAAGAACTGAAAACTGATCTGGGGATTCCAAAAACTACTATGTCTGAGATTTTGATGCAGGATCTTGTCTTTGAAATGTGCCATGGCAAAATTTGTTCCTGGGCTTCTGCTACCAGAACAGAAGGAACCTTGTGCTGCAGTTGCTAATGACTTGATTCAAGCTGCTACCAATTAACCAGATTTCCTCAAGAAGGTCATAACCAGAGATGAATAGTGGCTCCAGGGCTGTGATCTGGAAATGAAAGCTTAGTCATCCCAAAGGAAGTCGCCTGGTTCTCCATGCCTAAAAAAGGCACAGCAAAGTTGCAGCAAGATCAAGACCATGTTAACTGTGTTTTTTGATTGGAAGGTATTGTACATCACAAGTGGCCCTTTCAGGCCAATCAGTAAATAAGTAATACTACCTCAATGTTTTTTATTGGTTGGGAGATGCAGTATGATGAAAATGGCCATAGCTATGGGCAACTGGTGATTGACAGCTTCATTACAACAACATGCCCCCTCATGCATCATGTCTCTTGCAGTTTTTTGGTGAAACATCAAGTTACCCGGGTGACTGAGCTCTCATACAGCCCAGATTTGGCACCCTGTGACTTCTGGCTTTTCCCAAAACTAAAATCACCTTTGAAAGGGAAGAGATTTCAGACTGCCGATGAGAATCAAGAAAATACGAGGGAGTAGCTGATGGTGATTCCAACAAAGGATTTTGCAGAATGTTTTGAACAGTGGATGAAACGCTGGGAGAACTATATGAGGTCCCAAGGTGCCTACTTTGAAAGGAACTGAGGTGTCATTGTCCTATGTACAATGTTTCTTGTGTCTTGCATCTCCTTCAATAAAGGTCTCTATTTTTAGTATTATATTGCTGAATACTTTCTGGACAGACACCTTTTCATTTTTTTTTCATTTTCACCAATAACTTTATTGATTTGGATATTTTGAGTACTTTGGCTGTCTCCTACCTTTGGCTTCTAGTGGGTAGAGGCCAGAGGTGCTGCTCAATATCTTCTGATATGGGGCATAAGACAGTCCCATAGCAAAGCATTTTTTGGCTAAAATGTCAGTAGTACCAAGAAACGTTGTAAACCACTTTTGGCACATTCTATCAGTCACAGCACCTTTTCCATACACGGCACAAATCCTTTTTTGTTTTCAGTTGCATTTTTACCTTTCTTGAAAGCATAATACACTGAAAATGTATTTTCTTCCATCTTCAGTATTAAAATGGCTACACAAAAATTCACCAATTTTGATATTTTTTAATGCATGCTGATATGACAGCTGTCACAATACAATCTAACAACATTGTTTCAAATGAAGTTAAAGAAAACTAAGAACTACTAGAGGCATTGTATGGTAAAAACCAAACAAACTTCTTGGCCAATCCAATAGGTTATAGGGTGGTATTTATACTACATGTGTAAAGACTTTATAGATTTGTGTATAATAACAGTTCTCTATGTAGGGGTTGTTATTCCTATCAAAGATCCAGATGAGTAAAAAGGTAATTGCTCTTTCAGGGAGTATTCAGAGAAGTTTGGTTAACATACATTTTATTTGTGGAAAGTACTGGTGAACCAAATCATATTGTATTTAATGCTAACAAATTTAGAAATAGAGTATCTAGTATAGGTAATAAATTAACTTTACTTTTGTGTATCTCGAATGGTGCCAATAAGCACCATCTTTGAGGGAATTGAGAAATCCGTCCCCTGAAACGTTTTCTGAAAGCTATCCGACAGGAAGTTGAAATGCAGAAATTGTCAACATGAGGAAATATAGTAGAACATGAATTCCATTTGAGTATCAGTGGGCTTGGGAATTTGGTATATGTAAAACACAACAAGAGCAGAAGTCATTCTATAGCAAGGATTATTCAAGAGACATTTAATTGTACTAACTGGAACTGATTCATGGATTTGATGTCAGTTGAGGATTAAAGAAAATTGGGGGATTATTCTGTTGTCTGAGGTTTAAGAAGCTGAATGAATAATAATGTTAAGACTCTTGGAGCAGAACATGTTGATATGAATTGAGTTCTAAAGGATTTTAGGTATGTAGAAGGAAAAGTTGAGTGGTTTTCTGCATACTGATGGTGGTTGAATCCATGAGTACATAGTGCTCTAGGAATTAATCCATTAAAAACAAATTTCATATAATAGAAAAATCTGCAATCTATCCTATAAGAAATAATTAAATAAACATTGGGCAAAACAAGAAGCATAATGGGAGGAATAAGATTAATATTAAAGGAAAGGAGGATTTGAAAACAAGCCAAATAGTACAAGGAAGAGTCATTCAACCTCTTTGGAAAAGAGTGCTGCAGTTAGTTACAGATGAAGATAAAGTCGCTGAAATGGATAATCCATATTAGGAAAATAAATAAGGAAAATATATATTTGAAAGGATTACAAAAATTGAAGAGATGAGGAAACTAGAATAAACCACTCTTGCATATACCAAAAAAGAATACAGAAAAAGAGAGGGTGGAGAATTTGTTGAATATTCAAATGGATAAATTGCTAAGAATCTTTAAAGTAGCTTTATCAATTATTTTTAAATAATTAAAATTTAATTGATAGTAATATAGTACCAGTTTATTTTTTCAGAAGTTGAAATTGTTTTGTTTTCATTACTTTGTTTTTAAAATATTAACTAGAGTTTAGCTAAAAAATATTTAGTTTTGTTGACTTTTCAGCTATAGATAATTTTTCACATTTCTGAACCTATCTATAAAAAATTATATGGTCTACTTCATACATCAATTTTGGTGAACTTTTAGATTTCTTGCCAAAGGAATCAAAAAGGGTAAATGTTAAATCTGGTGATAGGATTATGGTGGCTGACAAGTTATCTTTTGTATATTTCATTGCAAAATATTTCAAAAATTAATACCAAATTTAAAAAATTAAAATATAAGGTTTTATTGCTAGCTACAAGTGCTTGGATGACAGCTATTAGCAGATAAAACACTGATGAGTAAAAAGAGAGAATTTGTACCAGTCTGTTTTCCCACAATAGTGTTACATGACATAAGACCTCTAGAGCTCAGTAGCTCAGACAACAGGCATTTGCTGTCATGCTCATGGGTCAGCTCTTTCTCAGTGGATATTCATAGGCTGAGCTAGGTGGCTCTGATTTAGGCTAGAAGTTGGCCCCAGCCCTGCTCCAGGTATGCTCATTCTAAAGCTGCAGCAAGAACAACTACCTAGATCATGGTTTCCTAATGGCTGATCATTGGAGAGCAAGAGCCAGGCCAGACCACTTAGCCATGTTTAAAGTCTCTGCTCGTTGTCATGTATACTAACCTTCCACTGGTCAAACAAGTCACATGGACCACCCTAATTATCGATGTCCGGGGAGGCATACTGGGCCTACAGTGGGAGGGGTGAATGAATATTGATGAACAGTAATCCACACTATCACAGTTTTCAGGTGAAAAGTTTATTTCAGGTTTGTTAATAACTTAACCACCCACAAAGGGCTGAAAGGAGTAAACAGTGTTTAATTTCCCCACATTTGCGTAGCAGCTCCCAGCCTGAGCTAGGGCTTCACAGGGTGTTGCTGGCACATGTGCTACCTTGTGTACACTTTAAAAAGATGCTTCTCTTCCTGGCGTTGACACAACTCTATGTGTACATGCCATGGTGAGTGTGGCTACCTACAGCCCCACATGCCCACTAGGTGAGGTGCATTTGTCCAGCTACGATCTTTTCAGCTCCTTATGATGGTCCTGGAGTTTCCTCAGGCAGAATTGTGATATTAGAAAACTTTTACTTTAGCAGTTTTTTGTATACACCCTTCTCTTTTGTTCCCCACCCTCCTGTCATCCAGCCATAGCCCAACCTTGGACCATGGGCATCCCATCAAGTTACTTACTAGAAACTTGCCTTCACTCAAAACTGCCAGTCCTCTTTCCCAGGCCCTTAGCATTCCTGGTTGCCTACTGCCAGTGAGTGTTAATGCCTGTCCCATCAGCCTATGTAAACTCTCTGTGCTTGTCTTAAAACACATGTGTCACATGGGGTTTAGTTTGCTACCCTTCTGATGGCTTGTAGAAACTTCATCAAAGAAACATTTTGTGTTTGTGTCTTTTCATGCTTAAATTTTGTTTTAGGTCAGTTCAAATGTATTACTGTCTTAATGTACCATAGAAGATGGTAAATATTTCAGTAAAACTACTTTCGTATAAGTTTTCTCTAGCAAAGAAACAATTTCTATGTATCTATAAACAAATACAGGAATTTATATGCATCTAATGCTAGATATAATGTTCATAGTTATATATTGCACATAAGTTTAATAGTGTATTTCATTTCATTCCAACTTTGAAAGCAGATTTATTACTTTCTATTATTCTTTAATACTGTTGTTTTTTCAATGTAGATTAAATCTCTTGATGAAAAAAATGTAGTTGGCAAGATTTCCAAGCAGTGGACTGGTTTTGTGAGAGAGGCATTTACAGATGCTGATAACTTTGGGATCCAGTTCCCCTTAGACCTTGATGTGAAAATGAAAGCTGTCATGATTGGCGCCTGTTTCCTCATTGTAAGTCTGTTCTTGCTAATCTTGGGTATTTCCCTAGTATCATTCTGTAAAGATTTAGTAAATTATATATTTTTTAATGATCTGCTTAAATTTATAGGCTTTATTCAAAGGGTCCCATTTAATCCTAGCCCTGAAATTTCACTTTCCCCTGATAGTCTGGATTCACAGGTGACCAGTTTCTTGGGAAATTCTATTCAGTTTCATGTGGCAGTAAAAGGACCTTGTGTGTTACAGAGAGGCCCTGGTCTTTGGGGCTTCTATTTAAAAATTGAAACAGGTGCTTTGGGTAAGACTTCAAACATGAGCTCACATGGAGCACAACTCAGTGAAACAGGGAGATTTCATCCTGATTCATTCTTCAGTTAAACCTTCTACTGCAGGAGGGTGAACTGCAGTAAGAGTATGCATCCAATCAAGCCACCAGATGGAACTGGCAGTTGAAAGGAAACACGTAGGGTAGACAATGATCCTGAACTTGTCTTCCATTAAATCACTCAGGGAGAGTTAAAAAACCCCAAGTACTAAATCATACCCTCATTCAACTAACTCAGAAGTTTGTGAAGCTCCCCAGGTGATTCAATATGCAGCCAAAGTCAAGGACTCCTGGGAGAGAGCAACAGTTCTCAGCCTTAAATTGCACAGTAGAAACAGCTTGGGAAGCTTTTCAAACCTCCTGTGTCAAGACTGCACCCAGATATTGAATCAAAATCTCTGGAGATGGGACCAAGCTTGCAAACTGTTTAGATCACCCCCATGTTTTTCCAGTGTGCAAACAAGGTTTGGAACCACAAATGAATAACTTAAATATTTATTTGGGAATGCCCTGAGAACAAAACTAAAAGGTGAGAGATATTTCCAGCAAACAGACCCAATTCTTTTATCAAATTAATGTCAAGAAAATAAAAATATAATAAAATGAGATACTTAAAAGATATCAACTTAATGCAATGTGTAAATTCGGTATACGGAATTGAACAAACCAATTAAAAAGACATTTATAGGCATTCACAGAAATTTCAATATTGACTGGCTCTTTGATGATTGACTTACTGTTTTTTTTAATAGTAGGACATTTATAACTCTAATGTTATATTGGGTTTTTTAAGTATATTTTATTGATTACGCTATTACAGTTGTTCCATTTTTTCTCCCTTTTATTCCCCTCCACCCTGCACCTGCCTCACTCCAGTATTGCCACTGCCCCTTAGTTCATTCCCATGGGTTGTACATGTAAGTTCTTTGGCTTCCCCATTTCATATGCTATTCTTAACCTTCCCCTGCCTATTTTGTGCCTACCAATTATGCTTCTTATTCCCTGTACCTTTTCCCCCATTCTCCTCCACCCCCTTCCCACTGATAACCCTCCATGTGAGCCTCTATTTCTGTGATTCTCTTCCAGTTCTAGTTGCTTGCTTAGTCTTTGTTTTTGTTTTTAGGTTCAGTTGTTGATAGTTGAGTTTTTTTGTCATTTTACTGTTCATATTTTTTATCTTTCTCTTAGATAAGTCCTTTTAACATTTCATATAATAAGAGCTTGGTGAGGATGAACTCCTTTAACTTGACCTTATCTGGGAAACACTTTATCTGCCCTTCCATTCTAAATGGATTCTATCTAGCTTTGCTGGATAGAGCAATCTGGGATTAGAGCCTTGCATTTCATTACTTGGAATACTTCTTTCCAGCCCCTTCTTGCCTGTAAGGTTTCTTTTGAGAAATCAGTTTATATTCTTATGGTAACTCCTTTGTAGGTAACTCTCTCCTTATCTTTAATCTTGGGTAATTTAATTATGTTGTGTCTCAGAGTGTTTCTTCTTGGATCCAACTTCTGTGGAACTCTTTGAGCATCCTGGACTTGCATGTCTAGTTCTTTCACTAGATTGGGGAAGTTTTCCTTCATTATTTGTTCATGTAAGTTTTCAGTTTTTACTCATCCTCTCCTTCTGGCACCCCTGTGATTTAGATGTTGGAATGTTTAAAGTTATCCCAGAGGTTCCTCAGCATCTCCTCATTTTTTTTTAATTCGTTTCTTCATACTGTTCTGGTTGGATTTTTTTCTTTCTTTTATTCAAAAATCATTGAGTTGAGTCCCACTTTCCTTCCCTTCACTGTTATATTTTCCCTATATATATTTTTATTTCACTTTGCATAGCCTTCACTTTTCCTCTATTTTGTGACCATACTCAGTCATTTCTGTGAGCATCCTGAGTACCAGTGTTTTCAACTCTGCATCTGATAGGTTGGCTATCTCCTCATTGCTTAGTCCTGTTCCTGGAGTTTTGATGTGTTCTTTCATTTGGGTCATATTTCTTTGTTTTAGTGCACCTGTCATGTTGTAAGGGGTGGACCCTTAGGTATGTGCCAGGGCCATGCAACCCACTTTGCTATATTGTGGCACTGTATGTGGAGGAGGGTTCCGAAAGGGAACAATGCCACCTACTCAGCTCCCACCCTGCTTTTAGTCACTTTCCCCACTTCCCCCAAGCAAATTGGACCCTTCTGGTGCTGATTCCATGGTGGGTGTGCCTGTGTACATTCTAGGATCCTGTGGCTTCTCCAGTGTACTCTCCTGTGAGACTGGGAGTTTCTCCTACCACTGCAACTCCCACAGGTTTTTACAGCCAGAGGTTTTGAAGCTCTCTTTCCTGGAGCTGGAACCCTGGGTTGCATGGTTTGTCTCATTCCCCAGTTGTTCCTCCAGGCTTATCTGCATGAATGTGGGATACCCTGGTCCACTGGCTGCCACCTCACCTACCCTCGTCTGCCAGCCACCACTTTGTTGTGTGTTCTCTCTTCCCCAGCTACCTGTCTCCACCCTTACCATTAATCTAACTGTTTCTTCTTTAACTCTTTGGTTGTTAAGCTTGATTTTCTGGCAGTTCTGGTTGTTTTTATATTTTTTAATTGGTTGTTATTCTACTTTTGGTTGTGCAAGGGAGCAAAGTATATCTACCTACACCTCCATCTTTGACTTACTGCTTCTTAAGGTAAAATGATTAAAATGGTTATATAAAAATAAAACAGTAACTCCCTATTTTTAGGGTCACATACTGAAGTATTTCAATATAAAATGATATATCACAAATTTGCATTTAAATAATGGGGGTGAGGCCTGGGAATCTAGAAAACAGAGTAATGAACTAAGATTAGTTATATTAATGATTATTGAATCTGGGTGAGTAGTTATTGGGACTTTGTTATGCTATTCTATCTAATTTGGGATAGGCTCAATATTTTCTATATAAATTTTTAAAGAAAATCATAGTTCTGCTTAAAAATGGTGTTTTCAATAACCATTTATGTCACATGAAAAGAAAATTTAACCTTACCCTTAGGGAAGTGTTTAGCTAAAGATATGGTGCATACAGGGAAGATAAGGCAGTCTGAGATGTTTGGATAGATGGGACATGGGATTGGAGGCAGTGATGGGATTATTAGTAAACAGCTATGGAGTAGACTGGGCTTCTACTAAAGAACTTTGAAGGACTGGGCAATGAAAATGATTTAGTTTACTGGTTATTTTTAAACTAAGTATAAGTAAAATAGTTATACATCCAAATTTTAGAAAGATAAATCCTGATGACTAAGATGGACTGAAGAGAAATGTAGTTACAATAGTGCAATTGCACAAGATTTGAAATAAGGATAAAATTATTTCTGTTGATGGGATAAAGGAAAATGATAGATGTGAGAGATAAAATCCATAGGATTTGACTAAGTCATGGAGGGGAGGGTCTAGTTAGACACTGATGGAGTCAGGCAAGTTAGGGACCACAGTACATAAGTTTGGAAGAGAATTCATAAAACTGAGCCAAATAGTTCCAAGTGGTATTCTAAATCTAAATTGCTTTCATTCCTCTGAAAAAAAACTTTAAGTTGTACATGGCATTCCAGCCATATTACTAGAGAAGGACTATAACAAGTTTAGGAAGGAAGAATCAAAAAGGAACATTCCAAGGGACCTGAGAAGAAGTGAAATTTAGAGAAATTACCAGAAGACTAATTAAATGTATACAGGTACTAATAAGTGAATAGAATTATAGGATTTAATTGCTATTATAATGAAAAGCTGAAACTATTGACTTTTCCCAGATCTACTTATGAGAGTCAGTTTTCTTGATTAGTAGATATGTCCTTCTGTTTCATCATATTCCTTAGCATGTATGCATCTGAGAATTGATCTCTGTTTTGTTACTGAAAATTCATTTCTGTATTTTGTTTTTACTTAGGATTTCATGTTTTTTGAAAGGACTGGAGGCCAAGAAGAGAGAGCAGGAGTGTGGTAGTGGATGAATAAAGTCTCCTCAGAAAGTGTGAAGTCTGTATCCTGACTGGGACTATGTATAAGCAAAATTCATGGGGCTTTCTTTTTCTTTATTGAAATGACTGATAATTTGTGAATTACACTGTGATGCCTGAAGCTCCAGGTATATGATTTCACTTTTTAAATTATAGAGCTTATTTTCTGTATCACTTAATTATAAATGTTTTTATACCTTTTCTTTCATTTTATACATTTTGTATTTTGTGTATTTCTGAGAAAGGGCATTAGAATTTTTACATTTAAACACAAAACTGCCTTTGATAAATTGGTTTATTTAAAAAAATTGCTTTATTTTCAATTAACAAAATTAATTAAAATGATTTCAATATAAAATTATACATTATTTTATTAAACTTAGTTAAAATTTATATGTAACAGCTGTTATTTTACAAATATTTTATATTCAAAAAGGTTAAAAATGAACATAACTTCAGTTTGCTTTAAAATTATGTTCAAATAATGCTCAAGTTCATATTATCAAGGAAAAATAAGAAATGTATTTGTTTTTATTCAGCAGTAAAACCACATTTAACTTTTTAATATAAACTATCTGTTACTATGATTTTCATATTGACAATTACCAATTCTTAATGGATTTCAGTGAAAAAGATATGATTCTGTCCCAAAGAAAGACACTTTATTTAAAGATTCACTGAGTCTAAAACTTGATTATTGTTATAATTTTTGAGGTAATTTGTTACACATGGAATGCTTTGTACCTAATTCTATCATTCATAGAGCACGGCAGTTATAAGATCACTCAGATATTTATTAAATAGAACATATATATTTCACCAGAGTATGAACTTCACTAATAGGCTAGTGGGTTATATATGCCAACAATCAAGTAACTGAAATAAAAAATTATTGATATATTTCTTTGCATATTTTTGTTTTTAAACTGAACAATTAATTCATATAGTGTTCTGAACCTTACACATTTAACACCTGCCTTCCTTTTCAAAGGAGCAAAAGCATTTGATAATTGTTAGTAAAATCCATACCGGTGCTGGAAACTAGGATTTCTATCTGTTAGAAACAGAAATTTTTATATTCTGTTTTATAGGAAAATTTGGATTGAATGGGAAGAAAGGCCCAAACCATAACTCAACTCATGCAAAAGAAAAATGGTTAGGACATAGGGGGGTTGGGGAGAGACTTGGTTTCACCTTCAGCAAAATTCCACCAAAACCACTAGCTCCTAATGTTGAGAACATTTGAATGTCAGGGGAGCTACAGGAAAAGCTAAGTCTAGACCATTTTTATTAGTCTAATAGTTCACCAGATGCCAGATTACAATGTTAATAACTAACCATGGCTCTCACATTCAGTTCATTCTGTTTATAGTTGGTACAGACAGCATGCCAGAAAAAGTGAGGTACTTGCATAGCTGGACCCTAGTGGCATTAGTTATACCAGTTAGAGAAGAGGAGGGCTTTCCAGGCCAGCTATCAGGTACCACAACTAACCCCAAATGAGGCTAGAGGTACTGATATTATCTCTGTGACGGTTACATCCTTCATTCTCCATCTTTCTCATCTCCTCCTTCTTCCTCTACCCACTCCTATGCACAAAATTCAGGATCTCTGGTTCAGCAAAGTAAAATTACAACTGATTTGAAAGGTTCCTTTCTTTGTCGATGTGCAAGGAAGATTTGTGCAGAAACCATAGACCATCTGAAGAATCCATTTAAGTTCAAATACTAGGAAAACTTAGCATTTACTAAGAGAAAAATCATTACAAATGAAAAATTAGAAATTTAAATGATAAAACACCAGGAATTAAAACAAATGGCTTTATTTGTAATCTCAGTGAGATCAGGAAAAATGTTGCCTATCTCTGAAACAGGCTATAGAGAAAAAGGAACATTCTGATGAGGCAAAAGCCCTGGAATTTAAAAACACAATAGCTACTGTGGGAATGGGGGTTGTAAAATATTTTTAAGTAGAAGCTACTGGATCACCACTGTTTCCTACCCTTATGCAGCAGAAGATCAGCAGTCAGGAAGCAAAACCCCAAGCAATAGCTTCTGCAAGCAGTGGAAACCTTGGGCATCTACTTTGACTACTGCGAAAGGATGTTGTGAACCACAGGTTTTGTTCCCCAAATTTTACATATTAAAGTGTTAAGCCCTAGTGTGATGATATGGAGATGGGGCCTTGGAAGGTATTTTGATTTAGATGAAGTCATGAGGGTGAGGCATCATGATGAGCTTAGAATCCCTGTGAGAAGTGGGGATCAGTGAGAAGGCTGCTGTTTGCAAGCCTGAAAGAGGGCCCTTTACCAGGAGCCAAATCAGCCAACACCTTGATCTTGAACGTGAGTTTTTAGAACAGTAGGAAAAAAATGTGTTGTTTAATCCATCCAGTCTGTGAGTTTTGTTATTGCTGCACAAGATGAAGAAAATGGATGATGTTAAGGCCAGAAATAAATTTCAAGGTCCATCAAGAAGGAAAAACTAGTAGAACATCTCCGCTAAAACCTGGGCTCATAAAAATTTATCACCTCATAAAATAAAAAAAAAAGTAAACTCCACCATTCGGATGGGAAGAGCACCGAAAAACTTGCTCCCATTGCTGTGTTGCTGGATGAGAGAGCCTATCTATGTCAATCTCTATGGGTCTGTATATACAAGTTTCCCCTGCTATCCAAAAGTAGAGTATTCTTATAAAATCTTCCATAAGCTGAATGGTGTAAAGCGAACAAGTGATTACCTTAGGATGCAATTTGGCAACAGATGCACAAAATAAATGGAGCTGAAACACAGAGGCTCACAGACACAATTCAAAGCAATGGCAGCTTGATGCTGAGATGCTGAGTGTTGTTTCCAGGGAAGAAACGTGATGTCACTCTTGCTGCTCCAGGTGCACCCTCTCTCTGTAATGGCACTGCAAAACAAACACTAAATGCTATTTTCACTTTTTGCCTTTCTTTGTATAGGCAAAAATCCTCTTTGGATTTTTTTTTTTTTGGTTAGTGAAAACAGCTACAAACACAGGTCTTTCATAAAAATGAAGTGGTGAAAAAACTTTAAAAAAGCAGGGAATACCTGTATATATACATATGGATATATGGCATATATGAATATATATAAGTTAATTAGGCATTAATTTCAGACAAAACAGACACTATAGGAAATTACTATAAGGAAAGAGAAACACTTAATAATAATAATAATAATAATAATAATAATAAAGGTTCAATTCACCAGAAAGATACAACTTGTAAGTTTTGCTTAATCATATAATCTCAAAATATTTGGGGAAAAAAATCAAAGCAAGAATAAATCAATCAATCCATAATTACAGTTAAGATTTTAATTTTTTTCTGACTAAATTCTAGAAAAGCAAACAAAAAAATAATTGTAAAATTGACAAATTGAGCCAATAAAAAAACACTGTACTCACAGTTGAAGACTATATCTATTTTTCAAGTATTTATAAAATATGCACAAAAATTGGCTGTGTACCAAAGGGCCATAATGCAAGTCTCAAAGTATTTCAAATTATTGAAACCATTGACAGTATGTTCTTGGACCATAACATAATTATAAATAATAAAAATATAACTAGAAATGTCACCCCATTCACAATTAGGAAATAAACAGGTGTCAAGGAATAAGTCATAAGGAATGTCCTGAGGTACAGTAAGCTTTTTAAAATAAGGTGCAAAGTCCAAAATCAAAAGTGAAAAACACAGTAAAAGGTAAATTAACAATGAAAATGTATGTACCATGAAAACAACTTTAAATATGTTACAATCCAGAGACCAATAGGCAAAAGAATTATATTTTATTTAACAGAAGAGGCATTCAATTCCACAGCATGATAAAGTGCACCAACAAATCAGCATGGGGAAGGAAATTAAAATACCACAGAAAAATGGGTATGAAATATTAGATAAACCACAGAATAAAATGGCAAATGATTGTAGTCATATTAAAAAGTACTCAACCTGCCTGACTGGTGTGGCTTAGTTGGCTGGGGTGTGGTCCCATAAACGGAAGGGTTGTAGGTTTGATTCCTGGTCAGGGCACATGCCTGGGTTTCCAGTCTGATCCCCAGTCAGGGTGCATGGGAGAAGCAACTCATCCATGTTTCTCCCTCACATCAATGTTTCCCTTCCACACTCCCTTTCTCTCTAAAATCAATAAACATGTCCTCTGGTGAACATAAAAAAAACTACTCGATCTTATTAATAATTATTAATTATAAACAGAAATAAGAATAAGATAACCTTGCCAATCAGAGTAGTTAATATTTAGAATTGATAATACAGATTGGAAAGATGTGTAAAACAGTATTCTCATACTTTATTGGCAGAAGAATAGAATGTTTTTCTGTAGTCTGTACAAAAAGATATGTGCAAAGAATGATGACTACAGCATAACTTATAATAGCAAAAATCTAGAAGTAAAGTACACCTAGGTTATTAGATCAATGATACAGTTTTGTATTAAAGGTCTGGAAAATTCCAAGATGCATCATCAGGAACAACTTGTAAAAACTAATCCTATTTATGTAAAAGAAAAAAAAGACACTATATAGAAGTGTACATACATACTTGTATTATTAAAATTAAAATCAAATGGAAACCGGCTTAGAAAATTCCCTGAGCAGACAAAACCAGTGTAGTCATACAAATAAAGTTTAATTTATATTGCAAGGCTAACTTGACCTGAGTCCTTTCTTGCTTAGCCTCCGGAAATCATAAGCAAACAGTGAACTGTTTCCCAAGGCTGATATGAGGTAACCACTGAAAATTCTAATATAATTAATCACTGTAAAGAATAAACAGTCACTGCTCTCTCACTATAAAGGTGCTTATTAACATACCCCTCTGTCTCATTCCATGTTTTGGTTTTAGCCTTCTCAGTTTGCAAACTGTCTTTTTGGTGTGGGATAATAAACTTTACTAATTACTACTTCAGTGATTCATTGGTTTTATACTTCTAAACTTTTGGCAGTATAGTAACATTTACTGAGTGCTTATTTTGTGGCAGGCAGCTTTACACACTTGATCCTTCTCCATCTTCATAAAAATCCTATGCTGTAGATACCATGACTACCTTCACTTTACACACACAGAGATTGTCAAGTAATTTTCACAAGGTCGCGGAGATGATCAGAGGGATGGAAAAGATTAAAGTGGATGAGAAGATTTGAACCCAAGTAGCTTGGTTTTCTTCCCTCCTTTTCCGAACTCATTTTGTGATTCTCTATTCCTCTCCCTTCCAACTCCCTTTTTCTCTCCTCCCAACTACCTCTGTTGGTTAAATCTCCAAATATCTGTTAACCATGGTTAACAGTGTAATGGAGAGAATAATGAGAAAAAAAGAGGATATATTTTACTCTTTTCCTCTGTTAGGATTTATTATTTGAAATATCCTATGTTACTTTTGCAAATAAAAAATTTAAAGAAAAAATAACGAACAGTTCAATTTAATAGGTTTGTATAGAATGGTAAATACTCTACGCACTTGGTTGCTTTGTCTCCAAAACAAGCTAAAACATCATTTGACAAGAAGAAAGGAAGAGAGCAAGAGCGAGAGAAAAAAAGAGACCTTAAAGAAAAACAAGGTTGGCCCGTGTTCTCCTGTACTCAAAGCACCGCCGCTTCTCGGCTTTGAAAGCAACAGGGGTCCAAGGGGTGGAGGTCAAGCCAGAGTAAAGGAAGTTCCGCAGGCCAGGCACCAACAACCACCTCCGTGTCAGTGACTCCCAGTTCCAACTGTTGCGACACCCCAGTTCCCGGCTGCCCTGAGCCGCAGAGCCAACGTCTTTGGAGTCTCTCCAGAGAGTAAAAACGAAGGCAGTGGTTTCGCGGCAGCTCTTCCACCCACAAGCAGTCATGCACAGCCCAAGGCAAGACCGCGGCAGCCCTGAGACCCAACTTCTCCTGCTCACTGGCTGCGGCACCACGCAGACTCGAGGAGGTGGGGGATGGGCAGTGGGAGGGGTGGGGAAGCTGTTGGGGAGTGGGGGGAGGACTAGCCTAGTGTTTGCGTCCCAGGGTGGGGGCGGGGTTCCAACCGCCTCAAGAAGCCACTCAGAAGTGGACCCAGGGAAATGCAGGGGCCCCAGCTGCCCAGGTGGATACCGCATGCCGAGAAAGTATCCCTTGACAAGGAGATTCCTGCCTGAAACCGCCCCCAACCTGGGCCCTCCTAGTGCATCTCTGCACAGTGGGCCAGGGGGATCTGCCCGCCTATTTCGGAAGAAGAGGGAGCTATTAATAGAGCCTGCTAGCTGGCGTTTAACAGTAAATACTAATTAGGAGTATAGATGGAATTACCCTAGGCACCCTGGGACACCAGAATTGGAAACGCGGAGGTTTGTAGATTAGAGGCCAAGCTGTTATCTCGGGAGTCCGTCTGTGTCCTCCCTCTACTACTTAATAACTGGGGGCTCTGACCTCCGGCCAGTTTCTTCACAGACCTTCCTTCCTTACCTCATCTCTGAAATGGTGTGACTATTCGGAGTTACAAGAGTAGAGTAGGATATGTACTAGTGTAACTCTGTTAGAGCAGGGTCTGGCACTGCCCCAGTCACTCCATAACAGGTTTTATTGTTTCTAATATTTGACAAAGTCCCCGCATCTCCAAATCTACTGTCTCGTTCCCGTTTTATTTCTCCATTTAGTCCTGGAAGTCTGGCATGGTAGCTTCCCAGTTCCAGGGGACAGGCAGCAAACAGTCGTCTGTCCTGGTTTAGCAAGGTGAGGGATGTGGCTAGTACTGTACAAGTGTCACTTGCTCCGTGTGACCTGTCAGGCGATTTGGGATCCCCCTTTTCTCCCTTGAACTTTTGTACCAGCACAAGTTTCTCTGAATACCGCCCTGGCGAGCATGGCAATTGGAGGACTTGGAATGCTGGACTAACGAATGAAAGGAGTGGACTTGTTCACTTGGGTAGAAAGTGGCATTTGAAATAGCCAGGTTGTAAATTAAGCAACCTTCAAATCTGTAAGGGATGCATTCTTTCTGACTGAAAGGAATGAAATAATTCTCTACACACATTGTTGAGTCAACAAGCACCCATTAAGCACCTTGCCTGGTGCCAGCCTTTGAGAGTTCCAGCCTTTGAGAGTTTAGAGAGCAGCTGGAGAAAGAGTGAATGTGTGAGGATGGTCTCCCAGGCACCTCTTCATCCTCATGTCTAATGATCTCTCCCTCTTGGTCTGTAACCCACAGACCTTTCCTTTCCTTGAATGAGAAGAGCCCCCTCAGCCTCAGGACTTCTACCCATGCAGTTACCTCCATCTATAACCCCACCCACTCCTCAAACACACTTCTTTGAGCTCTTGGATCTGTCTTCCTTAACACCCTCTCCCCATCACCTAATCCAGTGCTCCTATAACTCTTCATTACAATGCCATTAGTTTTATTTATAGCACTCTGAGTACTTGTAATATTATATTTAATTTTTGTTTATCTGCCACCTCCCCCATTTTATTTTAGTGCTTAGATGGGGACTTGCAGGCTAGCAATTTTGACATGGAAAGGAGAGAAGTGAGTTCTTATTGGAAACAGAATTTAGTTCAGGATATGGAGATTAATTGACTTTTTTTTTTTTACCATTGATGATGACACTATTGGAAGAGGGTAATCAAGGCAGGCAAGTCCTGAGAAGGGTAGGACTGATTAACATGAATGTGTAGGTCCAAGATAAATCTGACAAGTAACAGAGTTTTTGTCATCTTTGTTCATTTTTTTATTTTATTTTAATCATTGTTGAAGTACAGTTTCTCCCTTTTACTCTCATTCCAGCCTGCCCACCCATCCCTCCCCACTTCCCTCCCATTACCACCTCCCCCTAGTTTTTTCCATGTGTCCTTTAAATTTGTTCCTGTAAACCCTTCCCATTCTCCCCTGAAATTCCCTCTTCTCTCCCCTCTGGTCACTGTCAGCCTGTCCTCTATTTCAGTGTCTTTGAACCTTTGTTCATTTTAATTAATAGGCATATAGGGGTTGTTTTTAAAGTGGAGAGATAGGGGAAGTAGTGACTGGACAGTAGTGGGAAGGGCTAGGACGGGATCAAGGCACTAGAAGTCAGAAGTACTGAGTATAATATGTAGTTTGGTTGTGTGTTTGCTTTCTATAGCAATAAGCCACATAAAGTTTCCATTGGTTTGTCATGGTGTTACAGCTCCTACGATGCCTGAGAGGAGGACTTCTAGCTCCTCAATACATTTAAAAGCATGTATTGATTCACGGAATAAGGGTCAGACCTACGCAAATTTTGTTTGTTCTGGAAAGAACACATCCACGGGACCTGGGATTTCCAGAGATTTTTGCAATAGTATGACCTGATAGATAATCTTTCTCCTTCTCCTTTGGGAACATGCCTGGAGCCCAGCCTTGAGGCTAGGTGCTAGATCAAATTCTCTCCTTAGTTTGTATAATGTGTGAAGATTCAACTTGGTTACCATGTGGGGTGTTGTGACCACAGTGTTTCTTCATGGCTCTTTGCCTCATTGGGCCCTCTCCTTCCAGGTTTTAGAAATTGTCCACCAGCCGTGGCTGAACAACAACTTCTAAAGCATACTCAGAAACAACAATGGGAAGGGTCAAGCCACAAGGATTTAAATAGCCAGATACAAATAGATAAGATGAATAAAAAGAAATATACTATGTGTGTGACTATGTAGTTACAGAGTAGCGTGTTTCAACAGTGATATTTGACCTATAAATTTGTAGATAATGCATTAATAGCAGATCTTTTCTTTCAGAACTCTATATCATGGACAACCAAAGTAAGTAACTTGCTTTGTTTACTTTCCTTCCTATTTGTTAATTTTATTATTAACAGGTTACTTGTCATAATGTTTTATCTAGTTTCTGAAAGGATATAACTTCAGTATTTGAGAAACTATACACAAATATCCACTAGAGCTACTTTTCCCTTTAAAAAATAAAAATCTTAGAGACAACTACGAAATGCCAAGCTTATTGGGAATTAATTTAATTTATACTATATTCCATCCAGATCAGTTTTCCCTTTTCTAGTGCATTTTATATGCACAAATATTATTTAAATCACACTAATTAATAGATAACAATTTTAATGTGTCATTCATTGTAATAAAATTCTCAGCTAGATCTCCTGATATATATTTCATAACATACAAAAGTGTATAGGTTTAAGTAAATATCAATCATTATGCTCTAGATTTTTTTCTATGAAGAATATTTTAAATTACCGTGCTGGTGTAGCTCAATGGATTGAGTGCAGGCCTGCAAAACAAAGGGTTGCTGGTTCGAGTCCCAGTCGGGGCACATGCCTGGGTAGCAGGCCAGGTCCCAGGTAGGGGGTGCATGAGAGGAAACCACACATTGATGTTTCTGTCCCTCTCTTTCTCCCTCCCTTCCCCTCTCTCTAAAAATAAAATAAATAAAAACTTATTAAAGAAAATATTTTAATTATGTGGATATTAAGCATGTGATAAAATACATCTTTTTCAAAATTAATGTTCTAAAGAGAAAAAAATACATATTAGGGGAAAATGTCAATAACAAATCCTAAGAAGAAGGATGTTAAAGGACTGATGCTAACCTAACAACAGAATGTACTTACATAGCTACAATATTCAAGACAGTGTGGCATTGGTAAAAGAATAGACAAATAGATCAGTGGAACAAAATAGAGAGCTTATAATTAGACAGTATAAATATTGTCAACTCTTTTTTAACAAAAGAGCCAGAGCAATATAATGGAGCAAAGACAGTCTTTTTAACAGATGTTAGCCCTAGCTCAGTGGATTGAGTGCGGGCTGTGAAACAAAGTGTCGCAGGTTCGATTACCTGTCAGGGTACATGCCTGGGTTGCAGGCCATGACCCCCAGCAACTGCACATTGATGTTTCTCTTTCTCTCTCTATCTCCCTCCCTTCCCTCTCTAAAAATAAATAAATAAAATCTTTAAAAAATCTTTAAAAAAAAGCAAATGTTGCTGGAACAATTAGACATCCACATGCAAAAAAAAATTAATCTAGATACAGACCTTACAGCTTCACAATAATTAACTCAAAATGCATTACAGAACTAAATGTAAAATGTGAAACTAACACCATTAGAGATGACATAGAAGGAAGTCTAGATCAGCAATTTTCCATCTTTTTCATCTCATGGAACATAGTAAACTAATCACTAAAATTCTGTGGCACACCAAAACTAGATTTTTTTTGCCCACATGACCAAAAAAAAAAGGTATAATTTTGATTCACTCACACTGTGTTGGCTGTTGTCACTTTTTTGTTTGACAATGTAAGGGAAAAGAGGTCAGTGCCCCTGACTAAATAGTCAGGTATTGCATGTTTTAAAACTTCTTGCAGCACACCGGTTGAAAATTGCTGGTCTAGGTGATTATGGGTATGGTGATACTTTTTCAGGCAGAACACGAAAAACACATCCCAAGAAAGAAATAATTGATAAGATGGACTTCGTTAAAATTAAAAACTTCTGCTCTGCAAAAGACAATAGCAAGAGAATTGGAAGGCAAGCCACAGACTGGAAGGAAATACTTGCAAAAGACACATCTGATAAAGGAATGTTACCCAGAATATGGAAAGAACTCTTAAACTCAACAGTGAGAAAACAAAAAGGGTATTAAAAATGGTCCAAAGAACTTAAAGGACACCTCACCAAAGAAGAAATACAGATGGGAAATAAACATGAAAGGATGCTCCACATCCCATGTTGTCAGGAAAATACAAATAAAAACCACAATGAGATATCATTGCGTACTTACTAGGATGGCCAGAATCCAGACCACTGACAATGCCCAATGGTGGTAAGCATGAGGAGCAGCAGGAATGCTCATACATTGCTGCAGTTAATGCAGAATAGTGCACCCACTTTGGAAAACAGTTTGGCAGTTTCTTACGAAGTTAAACATATTCTTACCATGAAATATCACCTCCTTGGTATTTACTGAAAGAAGGTAAAAATAAATCCACACAAAAACCTGCTCCTTGATGTTTATTGTAGCATCCAGCAAACGCAAGAACAAATATCGGAGACTTTCAGGATATCAAAGATGTTACTTTATTGGCCAAGTTTAACCTGCGCAGGGGCGAACTCTCAAAGTGTCCAGCGACACAGTGCCCACAAGGAGCTGCAAACGAGAGCCGCGCCGAACGCTTACAACTACGTCCTTATATAGGGGCGGGCAAGCAAGCGTTATACAGAAGCAGACGTGGCAGTTAGCAATTCGCTTACAAAGACCACGCGCGGGAATTTCAAACTAAGCATTCTTGCATAAGGCGGGAAGGCAGGATGTTTGTTCATTAACCTAGTAATCTCCTGGCTCTAGCTAGTGAGTTAAAATCAATATGTAAAAGTTAAAAAATATATATTTAAGACAATGTGATAGTCCTGTGATTTGTAAGTGATTTTAACTCACATCTCCACCTCCCTAGTGGTTCTTTAAAAATACAAATCTCTTTGTATTACACACAGTATTCAGTCTCTGTTGGCTTCCCATTACTTTTAAGCGGGGGACCAAAATGTTTAATTTGACTACAAATGCTGAGGGCTCCCTGCCTTCCCTTTAAGATCCTCTTAGACCTGGCTCTCTGCTGTTTGGGTAAATGAGTCCTTTTCTCTTATTTGAAAGGCCCTATGTTTGTTGCTGTGCCAGCACTTGTCTCTGAAATGTTCTTTCTGTGCTACCAGCCTACTCACCTCCTTTTATCCATTGGTCCTCAGGGAAGTGGTCCCCACTCCTTCACTTTCTCCTCATCCAAATACCTTCCTTTAGCAAATATAGTCATTACACTGGTCCCTTCCTTCAAATGACTTACCTTCAATTCTAGTCAATCAATTAATCACTATAGCATTATATCCCCTTACAGTAAAGGTGAGTATACAGTTCTCTCTCCCATTAGGCAATGAGTGAACAATTTTTATCTGTGCTTCTGATTTTAAATCCCAGTGTCCAGCATTCCTAAAACTTCTTAAGATATAACTCAGATCAGGGAACTCACTGTTCTGCTTGAAATCCTCAAATGCCTGGAACAGACACACTTGGAGTAAAATCCAAACTCCTTATTAACGGACTCCCTAGACAAACTGCTCCTATTCCTTTACTGACAGCTGCTTCTATTTTTTCTCTCCCTTAAGATGTTCCTCTCTTTTTCAAACATGCTAAATTCATCCCTAAATTTGGGAATTTGCATTTAGTTTTCCTTCTTCCTAGAACATTCCTCACCAGGCTGTCATACAAAGTTTTTCCCTTCTCATTGTTTAGTTCTCAACTTAAATTTTACCCATTTAAAAGCAACTAGTTGATACTTTTCCCTTTCCTCATGTATTTCCTCCATCAATTCAATCTGAAATCTTTAAAAAAAAAACAACTTATTTTCTGTCTCCCAGAAGTTGCCTGTAAACCCTGTGAGAGCAATCAGTTTAGCTTATTGATAGCCATATCCTCTGATTCTAGACCAGATTCAGATTATAGATCATCTGTAAATACTTATTTGTTTTAGAAGGGATTAATTATAAAAGCTATAGTGTTTAGAAGACATCAGTATGAGGTTTAAGCTCTCTTCGTAGTCTTACTTTTTAATTATGTATGTATTTTTCATCAGTGTTCCATTAAGAGTATTTACAAATTGCATATTCTAAGTTAAATTTTGCATGGCCTTTACTGTTAAAATATTGTGGAAGCCAGCTTTTTAAAATGTTGTGGAGCACAATCATTTCAAATTATATTCCATTGCTGTTAAATTATTATTCTATGAACTATACATATAAACTGTGAAGCTCCAGCATAGTCAAAATTCACATGGAATATAGAGTATACACAGTATACACTGTGCTTATTAAGAACTTAAGACAGCTTTGTCATAATAACATTTTTACCTACCTTGGTTCTATTCCCATAATGCTGATGGTATAAATTGTGAAATTTAAATCTATAACCTCAATATCATAGTGTAGTGGGCTTTTGTTTTCATGTGAGGTGTCTCAGGAATGGATTGCCCCATGGATTAAAACTTCTCGCTGATGTTAATTCAGAAAAGTATCTGGAGCATAGTAAATGGATGACATGCTTTCACTTCTATATCAGGGTTTCTGAACAATGAGTGGCACTATAATATTTTGGGATAGATAATTCTTTTTTTTTCAAAGATTCTATTTTGGGCATTTTAAGACATTTAGTAGCATTCCTGGTCAGTAGCACCCTTCCCTTCCATTATGGCAACCAAAAACACCTCCACACCTTGCAAAATATTACTTGAGGGAGCACAACTGGTCCCAGTTCTATACATATAAGAGATGTCATTTGTTAGAATTCTAAAATATAACTTTTTGTGGAGTGTTTTGGTCTTGGAAACACTGGCTCAAAGTCCTATTATGGGCCCTCTTCCCAATGCCATCTCTTCTTCCCATGAAGAAATTCCAGAATCTTTATGTAGGTGACTCTAGATCATTGGTGATTTTCTTTCTTCCCTTTTTTTTAGATTTTAAACTTTTAGATCTAAATTATTAATAGCAATGGTAAGACTTAGGCTGACATGATTCACATTCCACCACCTTCAGAATAGAAGTATATATTGAAACCACTGATATTTAACAGAAAACTTGCTGGAAAACAATAATACAAATTTTAAGCCTTGTTGAAACAATATTCTTGAGCTAAAATTTTAGTTTATAGATAACTAGGGCAATTCTAAATGTATTGATGTTTCTATTTTTCTTCCCAGATGCAAACTATTTTATCTGTTCATATTTCAGAACCTCAAGGATATAGGGTCCATCCTGGCCCCCAGGATGCCTATTCTGGCCCCCAAGTTAACAATTCAGTCACAACACCTGGCTGTTCAAGTGCTACTCTAGTGGACTTTCCTATCCAACACCAGCCAGAGTATAATGAGGCAGGTGAACCTGCAGGGCCACTGTGGATGCCAGCAGCAACACCTTTATTGGACTGTCCACCAGGGTTGGAATGTTTAACTGAGGTAATTTCAAATTCATAAAAGACTCATGAAAATAAAACCATGCTTCCAGTTTACTTATTAACAAATGACTCACAAAATTTTAAATGATAAAACATTTTTGCTAACAAATTACTCTAATTCCTCTAGGTCAGGTTTACTTTTAAATCAAACTACAAATGGCTTAGGAAATTGTGTTTTCTATGATATTGAATATAATCTGTGGTAATAGTCAATAGTAAAAATTTATTAAGCACTATTTTCAAGTCTTTGTTCCTAAGTATAATACAAGTATTAACTCATTTGATCCTTTCAAAAATTCCATGATATATAGGTGCTAAAATTGTCACCAATTTACAGAAGAGGAGATTGAGGTCCAGAGAAGTTACATGATTTGTTCAAAATCAAAATCCCAAGGAAGTGGGGATGGTGTTTTACTTGTGGAACCTTGGTTCTGTATACCAGGCTCTTTAATCCCAACACTGAGTAATTTCCTAGGAATTGGGAAGAAAGATCAAACTCAATTTACCACTGAGGTTCAGTAAGTGGTACCAAAAAAGGAATTAATATTTTGTATATAATATGATCCACTTTTTATTTTAATTAACAAAACTGTATTTTTATAATGCTCTTGCTCTATGTAAAACCCAATTTTGTAGATACTACTATCAACTGATAGTCATTAGTGCCAGTTCAATGCCAACAAGAATCCTCTATATGGGGTGCAGTGAAGAAGGAAACTAATCAATGCAAACAACTCAATTGAGATTCAGCATTGCTATGCAACAGCTCAATAGTGTTACAACTAATTATTAAATAGCACAGCTGTGGAACAGCATGGCTGTGAGGCAGCCCTTAGGTGAGGCATCCCAAGGGTGAGGCCTCTCTTTGGCTAGAAAGCTCTGCTCCACCGCAGTCCACTTAGGGCCAGTGAACTCACCTACTCTTCTCTGTTCCACTCTACTCCAATCTACTCCATTCTGGCCTGGTGAGATGTCTTTGATGTTTCAGCTCCAGCCAGGGAAACTCAGTCTTCAGTGTTTGGTGGAAAGGGAAATTATGCTCCCTGAGCCAGAGGGGAGGTGACTAATGTAGAAAAGAAGTCCCTGCCACTCATCACTGATTGGTCTGTTCTCATGCAAATAAGGACTCTAAATCCTCACAGGTTGATTAAACCTAAAAGCTGTCCTGTCCTAATTGGTCAGAATGGAGCTATTCTGATTGGTCAGTAAAGATACTGAAAATAATATACCTATGCAGCTCTGAATGGAGAGGGAAAGTCTCAGTCCTACTGGTTGAAATACAATTTCAGGAATTCCTTTATACAGTCTGGCTCAGATGACAGGAACAATGGAGAAAGGCAATTCAGTGTGGAAGGCAGAAAGCTTGGTGTAAACTTCTCTCTGAAGTGTGGCTTGCATAAAAGGACCCTGGTTAGAAATAGCTACTAGGCTCTTTTTAAAAATTAGAGACCAATTAACCACCAGGATCCCTCCCTGATAGGTATCTTCTTTCTCAGGGTCAACATCACCAATAAATAAAAACACAATCTTGGATTTTAATGTACTACATGATAGTTTATGTCAGCAATGTGAGGTTTCATATTTGGTATTAAAAATCTCATAGATAAAGTACAAATTCTAATGTGTTCAATCTCTAAATAAATAAAAAAATATAATAGCTAATCACTTTTCAATAAATGAATGGTCTCTTTTGTACTTTATTTATTGACTTAATTTCCCATAATGCACTTGAGTAAGATATTTTATACAAATTTTAGTAGTTTACATATTCAACAAAGTAGATTTTTTAAAATCAAGACTCACATAATATGTAGGGCAAATCATTGTTTACTGTAAATAATCATATCAAGTATACCTTAAAAATTTGATATTTATAGAGAAAGTTTCTTAAATGGATGAAAAGGTTGTCCTATCTCCTAAACATCTTCTAGAAGGAATGTTTTCTTATTTTAAGTGTTTTCTTATTTTTATAGAAATTCCTGTATAAGTTATTTGGTCCCCTTAAGAGTGAACACACCCAAGACCCTTTTTAAATTATAAATTATTGAACTTTAGTTTTACACTTAAAATTAATATAAACTATTGTTAAATATTGAGAATATTGACAGATATTGATATTTATATGTATTCTTAAAAATATAAAAAAGATTCTTAGTTTGGTCAGCTTAAAAAATTTGACATGTATTTAAAGCTAACTTTTTTTTTTACTATATTAGATAGATAAAATACAGATTCATCAGCAAATTGATCTTCTGGAAGGTATGTACTTATTATCATTTCTCTATAAAGAGTAGACATTTATGCAGATAAAGACACATCAACAACCACAAATATAACAACTCTCACCAACGGCACTGGTTAAGCCTCATTATTTACAGATGCTTCCCTTCATGATAGTAAAATGATAACGATAATCATTAGCTCATATCTTGAAATCAGTAGTCAAGTGATGAAATGCTACTTCTTTGGGCATCTGTCCTTATGATACTGACCTTAATTTGGAAAGAGAAGAAACAAAACTTAAGTTTCTTACCCCTTCTTTCTAGACATCACTTTAGTGATTCTATTACTTTACCTGCCTATATCACTTCATCTTTGTTCTCTCCAATTTGTGATAACTTTGAGATTGGAACAGAGCCACATGCAATAGTCCATGTTACCTTAGTACCACATATTAATAGTTACCTTAGTACATTTCCAAAATAAGGGAACTCTTTAAATTTGGATGGCTATGTTTTAGAAAACCATATACTTACCCACAGGTTCTCTTTGAAGTTGAGATGAGTCATATACAATCTCTGTTTCATGGACTGTTAATTACCAGCTAGATAAAACAAGCTGCAGTGTTGGTTGTGCCAACCAGCAGGCCCAGTGGCCTAGTTTCCTAGAAGTGCACTCCCAATCATTCTACATGACACCTTTGACTCCACAAGATGTTTCCAGTACTTCCCTAGTGCAGTAACAAACTTAGAAAACCATAGAACTTCAGGACCCCTGAGAAACAAAAAAAACCCTGGGTAGATTCATTAACAATAGTGTTGCCTTGGGAGTGTCAAGATGGCAGAGAAGTAAGTGGAGGCTCTACTAACCTCTTCCCAGAAACAATCTGGCATTACAACAAAATTGTAGAGAAAGTATCCTGAAAAACTAACTGAACAAGAGCTGGAGGGAGCCTTATAACCAAGGACAGAGAAAAGAAACCACTTTACCACACCAAGACTGCCACCACCTTTTCAGACAGAACACTCCTCTCCAAGTGGCATCAGCCTGAGGGAAGCAATAGCCCCACCCACAGAAATTCTCTGTTCTACCTGTGGTGCTTAAGCTTGGCTTCTGATTACAGATTAATTAGTTTAACCACTGATCAGTTTAACAGTTGACTAGTTTAACAGCTAAGTCAGAAAATACAAAGAAACAGCCAAAATGGAGAAACACAGAAACAGATCCTAAACTAAAAAACGAGAGAATTCTTCAGAAGAAGAACTAGATGAATTGGAGGCAAGCAAGTATTGGATAGAGAGTTTAGAGTTAAGATTATAAGGATACTCAACAGCATGAAAAAAATACATAGAAACCATAAAAAAGGACCAGTCAGAAATGAAGAATGAAATATCTGAAATAAATAATACATTGGAAGGAATAAACAGCCAGTTAGATGAAACACAGGATCAGATCAGTGATTTGGAAGACAAGGTAAAAAATAACACCCAAGCAGAGCAGCAAAAAGAAAAATGAATTTTAAAAAATGAGGAGAGCTTAAAAAACATTTTAGATAACATGATATGTAGCAACATCCACATCTGGGAATACCAGAAGGAAAAGAGAATGAGCAAGGGATCAAGAACCTATTTGAAGAAATAATGACTGAAAACTTCCCTAATCTGGTGAAAGAAAAAGACACAGGTCCAGAAAGTTCAGAGAATCCCAAACAAGTTGGACCCAAAGAGACCTACACCAAGACACAACATAATTAAAATGACAAGGCTTAAAGACAAGGAGGAAATTCCAAAATCCTCAAGAGAAAAGCAGGTAGTTACCTACAAGGGAGAACCAATTAGACTGTCATATGATTTCTGAATAGAAACATTGCAGGCCATAAGATGGTGGCATGAAATATTCAAGGTGATGAAAGGCGAGGACTTACAGCCAAGGCTACTTTACCTAGCAAGGCAATCATTTAAAATCCAAAGAGAAATAAGGAGCTTCCCAGCCAAGAAAAAGCTAGAAGAGTTTGTTAATAACAAACCAGTACTGCAACAAATGTTAAAGGACATGCTTTAAGAAGAAGAGGAAAAAGAAAAATAAACACAGGAAAATAGTCTAATAAAAATGGCATTATGTACATATCTATCATTTATCACCTTAATGTAAATGGCCTAAATGCTCCAACCAAAAGACATAGAATGGCTGAATGTATTTAAAAATAAGAACCATATATATGCTTCCTCCAAGAGACCCATCTCAGATGGAAAGACACACACACACAGGCTAAAAGTAAAGGAATGGAAAAAGATATTCCATGCAAATGGAAAAGAAAAAAAAAAGCTGGGGTAGCAGTGCTTATATCCAACAAAATAGACTTTAAAACCAACGCTATAATAAAAGACAAAGAAGGACACTACATAATGATAAAGGGACAACCCAACAAGAGGATATAACCCTAGCAAACATTTATGCAACCAACATAGGAGTACCTAAATATGTAGAGCAAATCTTAATGGACATAAAGAGAGAGACCAACAGAAATACAGTCATAGTTTGGGATTTTAATACCCCATTGACTTCATTCAATAGACCTTCCAGGAGGAAAATCAACAGGAGACAGCAGCCTTAAACAGCGCACTAGATCAAATGGATTTAACTGATATCTTCAGAGCATTTCACCCTAAAGCAGCAGAATATACATACCCTTCAGGTGCACATGGAACATTTTCTAGAATAGATCACATGTAAGGACAAAAAACAAGTCCCAATAAATTTAAGCAGATTGAAATCATATCAAGCATCTTCTCTGACCATAATGTGATGAAATTAGAAATCAATCACAAAAAGAACACTGAAAGACACACAAAGACATGGAAACTAAATAACATGTTATTAAACAATGAATGGCTCAACAAGAAGATCAAGGAAGAAATCAATAGATACCTTGAAACAAATGAGAATGAGAACACAACAGTCCAAAATCTGTGGGACATAAAGAAAGCAATCGTAAGAGAGAAATTCATAGCATTACAGGCCTATCTCAAAAAACAAGAAAAAGCTCAAATGAACAATCTAATTTTACACTTAAAGGAACTTTAAAGAGAACAACAAAGTGCAAAGTAAGTAGAAGCAAGAAAATAATAAACATCATAGCAGAAATAAATGAAATAGGGTCTAAAAAATTATAAAAAGATCAATAAACCCAAGAGCTGTTTCTTTGAAAAAATAAACAAGATTGGCAAACCTTTAACAACACTCATCAAGAAAAAAAGAGAAAGGACCCATATAAACAAAATCAGAAATAAAGAGGAGAAATAACAAATGACACAAAAGAAATACAAAGGATTATAAGAAAATACTATGAACAACTATATGCCAATACACTCATAACCTGGATGAAATGGATAAACTCCTAGAAACATACAATGTTCCACAATTGAATCAGGAAGAACCAGAGAGTCTGAATAGACAGATTACATCTAGTAAAATTGAAACAGTAATCAAAAATCTCACAACAAACAAAATCCCTGGACCAGATGGCTTCATGGGTGAAGTATACCAAACATTCTGAGAAGAGCTAATAGCTCTCCTTGTTAAACTGTCTCATAAAATTCAAGAGGAGGAAAGGCTCTAGACTCATTCAGGAGGCCAGGATTATCCTAATCCCAAAACCAGATAAAGACAGTACAAAGAAAGAAAATTATTGGCCAATATCCCTGAATTACAGAGATACTAAAATCTTAAACAAAATATTAGCAATCCAAATATAGCAATGCATCAAAAAAATCTTACTCCATGATTAAGTGAGATGTATTCTGAGAATGCAAGATAGGTACATCATTCTCAAATCAATAAATGTGATTCACTACATAAACAAAATGGAGGATAAAAACCATTTGATTATATCAATAGATGTAGAAAAATCATTTGATAAAATCCAGTACCCATTTATAATAAATACTCTCAGCACAGTGGGAATAGAGGGAACATACCTAAACATAATAAAGGCTATATATGACAAACCTACTACCAGCATCATACTCGATGGGCAAAAACTACAAGCATTCCTTTTAAGATCAAGAACAAGACAAGGATGTCCTCTTTCACCTCTCTTATTCAATATAGTACTGGAAGTCCAAGCCATAGCAACCAAACAAGAATAAATAAAAGGTATCCAAATTGGAAAGGAAGAAATAAAACTGTCATTATTTGCAGATGACATGATACTCTGGAACCCCAAAGATTCCACCAAGAAACTACAAGAACTCATAAATAAATTCAGCAAAGCAGCAGTATACCAAATTAATGTTCAGAAATCAGTTGCATTTTTATATGCCAATAACAAACTAACAGAAAAGAAAATTGAGCAAACTACGCCATTCATAGTTGCTTCAAGAAGAATAAACTACCTAGGAATAAAGCTAACCAAGGATATAAAAGACCTGTACTCAGAAAATTATAAAATACTGAAGAAAGATATTGCAGAAGATACAAATAAGTAGAAGCACATAATTTGTTCATTGGTAGGAAGAATTAACATCATTAAAATGTCCATACTACCCAAAGCAATCTACGGATTCAATGCAATCCTTATCAAGATACCAATGATATATTTCATAGAACTAGAATAAATATTCAAAAACTTTTATGGAACCACACAGAACCTCATGTAGCAACAGCAATCCTGACAAAGAAGAACATAGTTGGAGGAATCTAGTTACGTAATATCAAACTGTACTATAAGACACAGTAATCAAAAGAGCATGGTATTGGCATAAAAACAGACACATAGAGGAATGGAACTGAATAGAGAGCCCAGAAATAAACCTAAACCTTTATTGTAAATTAATATTTGACAGAGGAAGCAAGCACATACAACAGACTAAAGATGGTTTATTTAATAAGCGATGCTGGGATAACTGGACAGATATGTGTGGAAAAATGAAACTAGACCACTTTACTACACCACACACAAGAATAAATTCAAAATGGATCAAAGACTTAAACCTGAAACCATACATATTATAGAAGAAAATATAGACAGAAAAATCTCA